CGAGACATTTTCGGTCCTCTGAGCACAAACAGAAGTGAACTTCTATTTGTGAATCAGAAACTAATGTTTCTGTTTGTGAACCACCACCTCGATGTTGACCACGCCCCGCTCGCACGGCCCCTCACCCAAGCGGCCTCTCCGGCTCCACGTCCTTCGAGCCGTCCTCAACAGTCTTCTCCGACGCCTCCGACACCGACCACCCCGTGCTGCACCCAGCGGCGTCGTCCGCCCTCGAGTCCCATCGCCGCACGCGCCAACCACTTCTTTCATCCTCTCTGTGGGCCCGTGTGAGGATGGCGCGCTCTCGCAGCTTCACTTTTCGCTTCCTTCCGCCCCTCTTCATCGTCCATCCGCGTCCTTCCCTCTCTTCGTCCGCTACCACCGGCCTCCGTCTCGGTCTCGTTCCCGCCTCTCGCGCCCCCTTCCTGTCCTTCCTGCTCTCATCCCTCCTCTCCTCCTCTCAGCGCACGCACCCCCCATTCCTCCTTCCCTCTGCTCTCCGCGCTCTGCCGCCTGCGCCTCGCACAACGCGCACCCCGCCCCCAACGCCTCGCCCCAATCCCTTCCACGCACCGGCTCCCAGCTCCCGCGCCCGGTGCCCACCGCGTATCCCTTTTCCGCCATTCGCCCCATCCGCTTGTTCAGTTAGGCACTTCCTCACCTGTCTCCCTCCCTCATCCCGTGTGCTATTCGTCCCGTCCCGCCCCTTCCCTTCCCCTCCGCGCTTGCCTGACCGCTCGTGCGCACACGCCGTCGCCATCGTCACAATCAAGTCCGGGACCGTCTCGAATCCTCGCATTCCGTAAATGTACATGCAATCAAACATCCTAGGCGCCCGCACATCCAGGCGCAGTGCCGCGTCACCCAGCGACCCCCTCGCTGTGACGCGCGCGTCGTCTCTCACTGCCATCATCCACGTCCACGTCCTTGCCCTGCATCCGAATCCCCGCGCTCGCAAATCGACACGCAGACGCTCAGTTCCAAATTGACACCTGTCGTCCCACAAAGTCCACCGCATCTAGAATCCTCACGCCTCGCGCGCACGATCGATCGCAAATCACAATCACAACCCCCCGTGCTCGCAATCCACGTCTCGAATCTCCGCATTTCGCAAATGCACGCGCTCGCAAATAAATGCAGGTTCAAATCCCGGGCATTCCGAGTCCATAGCCCGCGCTCGCAAATCGCCGCGCATCTCAAATCGAATCCAAGGCTCAAATCCCGCGCGCGCAAGTTCGAGGCTCGAATCCGATCCCCGCGCTCGACAATTCGTCCCAGCCCTTCTCGCTGCGAGTGCATTCGGGAAATGGAGAAACCGGCAGATCGAGCAACCGGCGGTTGCTTACATCATTGATCGGAACTTAACAAAAATAGGGGCTACCGTCTGCAACACGCCCGAAATTGCAGTCAGTAGGGTTTTATGAAGCATAATAGGGCCAGAAATACCCTCTCCAAACCACTCCAAAACTTCCGTGCTTCTGATCCGCTCATTGTAGTTTTACTAATAAAGTTGGGCTCGCGGCATCATTCCTTCCTCCTCGGCACAAGCCGCGTTGCCTCCATTCAGCTCCATTCTCGCCTATTTCCCCCAAAAGACCAGTGGCATCTAATGCTGACTACTTGAAAAGAAGGAATGAGGTGGACACTATCATGTACAATAATGCCTATTGTGAACGGCTCAATACAAGCTCAAGAGCTCTATCTGAGTATTAACCAGTTTTGTCTTACACATCATCGAACGGGAAGCAATAGGGACAGGCAGGGTTTTAACCGCGTCCGCGATACCACTAAGTCACCAAGAAAACGGCAGTAGGCGAAGGCACAAGGGCAGCCAACATTTATTTCAAAGTCCGAAACATGCCGCCGTCGATGCCGCCGGTCACTTTGCCGGTCTCGCGGATAGCCGAACTTCCTGCTCGCCGCGCTCGGAAACTTGAATCCGAATTCCAGCCCTTCTCAAATCGTCGCGTTCGCAAACTCAAGTTGCGGCTGACGCGCATCGCCTCCGACGAGCACGAATGGGAACGAACGCGAACAAGGGCGAGCGTGGGTTTTGATTTATGATTCCGGCATGTGTGGGCGGGTTGGGTGGCGTCGGGCGGTATGTGGAAGGTAGATAGGTAGAGGTGCGGGCGAGCTGGGGGCGGAGGGAGGGTGCGAAGAGTGCGTCGGGAGGTGCAAGTATTATTATTATTTTTTCCAAAATAAATGGATATTGGTTGAACGCACCGAGTGAGCGGAGTCCCTGTTCTGAGCAGTCTTCCTTCGAGGTGGGGTAGTACCGCCGTGTTCGATTGGAAGGGAAGAAGATTACAAGAAAAAGTAGTCGATTGAAACCTATTCAAACACAGAGATTCGAACCCTGGGTTGCCTCTGCAAACGAAAATTACCGATTTACTTGAAGAGGCTGTGTTCCCGCTACACCATGTCTGACTTCCTCTATTTAACATCTGGGTACCTTTATCAGTTTGTAGTTTGTTTGAGTATTGGCAAATTAGTAGAGCCTGAGCGGGGTTCTTATTTTTTAGACATTCGAATTGGGAGTCGCGAACGTGAATGTTCGACTTGAGTTAGATCTTCAAACTTCGATTTCGGAGGCGAGAGAAATGAAAAGGAAAAGAAAGAAAAAATCGTATCCCAAATTCCTATATTCAGACACAGGGAGTTGAACCCTAGACCACCTCCATACGAAGATTATTCTTGCCTATAAGACAAGGTTGTGTTCCAGCTACACCACGTCTGAGTTCTCTCATTACTTGTGTGTATTAATTTATCAGCTCTTTCAAGGAAAAGTCGGGAAGATAAAGTTCGATCGGCGTAAAGTCCGACCACCTGACCAACTTCTTCCCATCTCCCGCTACTCACCTGCCTCGCGCTCTGCTGGTACTGCTTGCGTTCGGCTCGTATTATTCACGGCCTTGCCAACCTCGCCCCGCTCGCGCTTACTCTCATACGGCTGCGTCGAGGCGAGGTCTGTTCAAATATGGATAGAATTAAAAATATGGATAGAATTAACGACCCGGAGGACATCGACATCCTTGGTGTTTCACCTTACTTTGACTTTGTTGCTGCCATTTACTAGGCCTGACAAAAACACTCATGAACACTCCACCTCCTCGCCTGCGCCTCTCGGCGCTCACTTAATCCGGCTACCCGAGGATTTGGTGTGCCGGCGATAGGGATGAGCACATCGGCACCTATGCAGAAGCCGCAGCCGTCCGCTCAACATCGTTGGACCGAATGCTGTCCTAGGTATGCGCCGGCCACACCTACGTCGTTTGTCTATCAGCGACACGCTCACACCATGGAATACCCGTCCGAACACGGTGCCATCCCCGGAGGGAACATCCCGCCTTTGATGTGCATATGCCATCCCGACCGCTATTCACAGCCGCCGCTCGCGCTCGAAATTGACTTGTTTCTAGATCCAACGGCCACTCACTGGTCCGCCCTTCAAATTTAGGGGCTTAGATTGGGATTGGGAGAAAGGGCAGTTGTACCCAAGTCAACTAGAGCCCCACGCCGTCGTTCTCTCCACTGATCTACTTGGTCAGCTTGCAGGGATGTAGAGCCCAGACCTGCTACGGGAAGCGAGCTAGACTCTCCGCGCGGAACGTACGATTGAACCCGCTGCTGAGGGTTGAATGTCCACAGCAGGAGAAAAGAACGAGAACCCCGCTCTGTCTACAATTATTTAAACACTAATAATAATCAAACGAGCTCATAAAAAGCACCCGGATGTACCAGAGAGGAAATCAGATATGGTGTAATGGGAACACGGCCTCATATTCTGGGTACTCTCCAGTAAAATTGAGAGGCAATTCATGGTTCGACTCCCTGTGTCTCAATGGGATTTGTATAACTTGATTTTTTTCGCCTTCGAAATCAAATTATCATCGAAGCTTCAAGTCGAACATTCCCACTTAGACTCGCGCCTCAAATATCTGAAAACAAGAGCCCCGCTCTGTCTACAATTATTCAAACACTAATACTCAAACACGCTGATAAAGCTCTCCAGATGTTCTAGGGAGTGAGTCAGACATGGTGTAGTTGGAACGCAGCCTTTATTGTTGGAGATCAGTCAAAGATTAAGAGGTAGTCCGGGGTTCAAATCCCTGTGTTGAATCCAATCATTTTTTTCTCTCTCTTTTCATTCCTACTCATCGCACGCGGCGGTATTCCCCTATCTCGAAAAAAGACCGCTCAGAACAGGAACCCCGCTCATGATCACTGGGTGTATATTCACCCAATATCCATTTTTTTTTGAAAAAACTAACAACGCTACATACTAAGCACTTGCACCTCGCGACGCACTCACACCTCCCCACCTACCTACCTACCTACCTTACCCCTAAGTACCGCACAACACCGCCCAGCTCAACCCACACCCACACATCCCGGAATCAACCGCTCGTCCGTGCTCGTTCTCGTTCTCGTTGGCCATGGACAGGATGCACAGGGGCGTCGATTGAAGGTCTGGGACCTGGATTTGCGAGCGCGTGAACGCGGACCTGCACTTGCGAACGGGGAATATACATCTGGATGCGCGCCGATTTCAGAAGGGCTGGGCCCTGATGCGGAGTCGAGACGGGACGTGATGCGCGTGGGTTCGGAATTGCGAGACACGGGGAGTCGAGACTTGGGTTTGAATTTTGAGATCGCGAGGACTTGGACCTGCACTTGCGAGCGCGAGCATTCAGATTCGAGACTTGGATTTCGGGTGTGCTTGTACGGGACTTGGAGTCGGGATTCAGATTCGATCCAGATCCAGAATCGGGGACAACGCAGCCGCGCGCGGGCGCGACCTTGAATTTGCGCGGGCGGTGAGTCGAGGCTTGAATCGAGATAGGCGGGGGTTCGAAACGTGGAGTTGTGAACGCGGGGATTCGGATGTGCGGGCATGGGATTCGAGGCCTGGACTTGGATAGGGGAGAGAGCGGTGCGGATACGACGCGCGCACCGGGACTAGCGGCGAGGGGGGCGCGGAGGGACGGGACAGGATGGGTAAGGGTGCGGCGGTGGCTGGGAACGCGCAGGGTTGGGTGGATGGAGGGCTGGCGGGAGGCGCGGACAGCTGAACGCCGATGCGGCGGAAGGGGACGGGATGCACGGCGGGGTGTGATGGCGATGGCGAGGGCGAGGGCGGACATAGACGCGGACACGGACCGAGATGGGCACAGATGGCGGAGACGGCGTACGGATGGACGGACGGAGGGGAGGGGAGGGAGGGAGGGAGGGAGGGAGGGAGGGAATGGAAGGGGCGTGTGAGTACGGTAAGAGGGCGAGGGGAGACGGACGCGGACGGATGATGAAGAGGGGCGGGAGGAAGTGAAATGAAGGGAGAGCAGCATGATTAAGATGCGGAGAGGCGGGAAAGGGGACGCTGCGAGCGCGAGGGACGGGTGCGTGGATACGAAAAGGGGACGTGCGTGTGGATAGTAAGTGGACGCGGGGAGAGCGATCTATGACGGCAAGGACACAGGAGGGTGAGGACGGGGTATGAGGTGCGGAGGGAGGAAAGGCAATGCAATGCGGTCGATATGGACGCGTGACGCGGGATGACGGAACGGCGACGACGTGGGGTAGAGGCGATGCAGGCGGGCTCAGGGCGGGCGTGTCGATGGTTAACGACGCGACAAATGGGACGTTAGACGATGCAATTGCGGGCGGCGCGGTGAAAGAAAATACACAACGCTGCAGAAGAAGAGGACGAAAATCAAAGGAAGGAAGTGGATGTGAATGGTGAATGAGAGCCACGGGGAGGCGAGGGTGAAGGAGGATGCAGGAAGTGGACGGCGAAAAAGAGCCACGGGGGATGCGGGAAGGCGCGATGGTCTGGACGCGATGGGAGGACGGGTCGATGGCACTCGAATGACGACGAAGGCGGACGACGCGGCCGGGCAGCACGGAGTGTGTGCCAGCGTGGGTGTCGGTGTCGGAGGCCTCGGAGAAGACTGTTGAGGACGGCTCAAAGGACGCGGAGCCGGAGAGGGCGGGCCGTTTGGGCGAGGGGCCGCGCGAGCGGGGTGTCGATAGCATCGTAGGTGGTGGAATCAAGTGCAGGTTGGTGGGACGGTGAGGATGGAAGCGGGTGATGTCATTGATGCGGGGATGGTGAGCCGACACACGTTGCCCGCGCTCGACGACCGCGGTGAACTCGACGCCGGCGCGGACTCGACGGTGCTCGTAGGCCTCAATGGGCTTGGGACTGACACCAGCCTTATACATACCCGCCAGATTTGCTTCCGGACCCACCCGCGCCGCGCCGCCCGGAAGGGTCAACCTTGATTCAGCCTCAGAGTTAATAAATACCAGCGAAGAACATATAAGAGAATCAGACATGGTGTAGTGGGAACACGGCCTCTACTTGTGATCCAATATTCTAGGTGTCAGAGGGAGTTCAGGGTTCGAATCCCTGTGTCTGAATAAGGTTGTTCACAGCTCACTTTTTTCTCCCATTTTTTTTCCACCATTTTTTTTACTGCATCGTTGATTTTCCCTGGTTTTTGCTCGGGGTTTTTTCCCTTTCAATTCAGTGGTGTATAAAAGGTTGAAAATGGAAGAAACGAAGTGTCCAGGCGCAGAATTCGTGAAACGGCAGAAAAGAGGGAAGAAAAATGGCCGGAAAAAGTGAACTGTGAAACCCCCCGACGAAAGCTCCCTTTTTTGCACTCCTTTTTTCGTTTTACTTTTTGGTGATCTCTCCTTATTTCTACGTAAATTACATGTTCGATTCCACTTCTAAACACAGGACTCGGGGGACCTGAACTTGAATTTTAGTTTTGAACCGGTTCCCCCGCAGGAGACTTTCAACGCGGCGAGCAGGGCTTCAGTTTTTGTTTCTATGATCCCTGCTTGCGGCGGCCCTTACTCAGATGGGCCGCCGTGACACGAGCAAGGCATAATTTACATGCAACACTTGCAATCGTAGCCATGCACCAGGAATTTCTGCTAATTTTCCTTCTCCATTCCTAACGTTCACCTGCAACAAAATGACCACCTCTCAAATTTAAATCCGATCCATGGCTTTTATGACACCCCCATCCAAGCCTCAGGCCGTCGAACTAACCACATCCTTAACTACAACCCAACTCAGACGCGCACTGATCTCCCGGAACCACCGCGCGACGTTCGGCCGCGCCATCATCACGTCGCTGCCCATGCGGTTTGTGAGCAGCTCGGCGTACGGGAGGTGGTACAGGTCCGCCAGCGTGATGTGCTGCCGACGATTTCAATAGCCAATTAATTACACGAGTAAAGGGGCACGCACATCGCCCGCAAGGTACTTCGTCCTCCCGAGGATCTGTTCGTATGCATCCATCTTCGCTGCAAGCAGCGCCGTGAGCCGAGCCATCTCCCCGGGGTCTGTCGCCTCTTCCATGTATGATCTCCTCCCTCCCCCCAACGACTCCCTATGGGCTTGTTTCTCCAACAACACGACCCAGGCCCCTTGCCAGCCCACCCCGCGCGAAGAATCCAGCTCGCCTCCCACGGTAGATCTGGGGTCTACATCCCTGGCAAGCTGACCAGGTCGATAGCGGGAGAGAACAACTGCGTGGGCTCCAGCTGACTCGGTCCGTCCTCCCCATTCCAATCTAGGTCCCAAAATTTGAAGTGTGGATCAGTCAGTGGTTGGCGGATCTAGACACAAGTCAATTTCGAGGGGTGGCCGGGGAATTTCTCTCGCGTATTCAGATTCCATCCGTCGCTCGGGCCAGGGGTGGCGGTCGGGACCGTATATGCGCGATGCTTTCTACGAGAATGGCGCCGTCTTCGGACGGGTATCCCATGGTGTGCGCGTGTCGCTGATAGACAAACGACGTCGGTGCGGCTGGCTATTCGATGAAACCTAGGACAGCATTCGGTTCAAAGATGTTGAGCGAGACGGCTGCGACTTCTGCGTAGGTGCCGATGTGCTCGTCCTCATGGCCAGCACACCAAGTCTTTGGGTTGAGGAGGTGGGGTGTTCATGAGTGTGTTTGTCAGGGGTAGTAAATGCCAGCAACAAATTCAAAGTAAGGTGAAACCCCAAGAATGTCGATCTCCTTCGGGTTGTCGGGTTGTTAATTCGATCCATGTTAGAACAGACCTTGCCTCGACGCAGCCGTATCAGAGTAAGCGCGAGAAGGGCGAGGTTGGCAAGGCCGCGAATGATCCGAGCCGAACGCAAGCAGGATCAGCAGAGTCCGAGGCAGGTGAGTAGCGGGAGATGGGAAGAAGTTGGTCAGGTGGTCGGACTTTACGCCAATCGAACTTTATCTTCCCAACTTTTCCTTGAACGAGCTAATAAAACCAACCCAAGCACTAGAAAGAGAACTCAGATGTGGTGTAGCAGGAACACAGCCTCTTCTTATCTGCAAGATTCTATCTATGTAGAGGCAGTCCAGGTTCGACCCCCTGCATCTGAATTCGGATTGAGGGATCTTTTTTCGTCTTGTGCGGCTAACTTCATTTTTTTACCGCCCCGCGCGGAACGTACAGTTGAACCTGCTCTGAGTGTTGAATATCTAGTGTCCGCAGCACAAAGAAAGAACGAGAACCCCGCTCGGTCTACAATTATTCAAATGCTAATACTCCAACGAGCTCATAAAGGTAGCTGGATGTACTGAAAGGCGACTCGGACACCGTGTAGTGGGAACACAGCCTCTTCTTCTTGCTTGGGACTGATTAACCAGGAGGCAGTCGTGACTGAATGGGAATGTAGGTAATTTTCTTTCCTTTTCATTTCTCTCGCCTTCGAGCTCAGGTTCAAGCTCCAAGCCGACCATTCCCGCTCGCGCCTCGAAATTCGAATATTTGAAAAACAAGAACCCCGCTCAGGCTCTACTAGTACATTCAATCAAAACCCTACCAATACCCAACCAGCTGCTAAAACCATCCAGATGTACTGGAAAGTAGCTCAGACATGGTGTAGTTGGAACACAGTCTTTCCTTATGGACATGTGCTTTGGTTCTAAAGAGACAGTCCAGGGTTCGAATCCCTGTGTCTGAATAGGGTTGGATCGATTTTTCTTTTCTTTTATCATTTTCCATTCCTACTCATCGGACACGGCGGTATTACCCCACCCAAGAAAAACGAGACCCCCTCATGATCACTCTGCGCTACATTCAAACAAGATCCTTTTTTTTTTTAAAAAAAAAATACCAACCCTATATACATACGAAGTACTTGCACCTCGCGACGCAGTCTCCGCACCCTCCCTCTACCGCCAGCTCGCCTCGCCAGCACCTCTCCGTCCCTACCTACCTACCTCACACCTACCGCTCAACGCCACCCAACCCGACCCACACATCCCGCGGGATCGAGTCATAAACCAAACCCCCGTTCGCCCGCGTTCGCGTGCGCGCGCGTTCGTGCTCGTCGGAGGCGAGGCGCGTCGGCCGGGACTTGAGTTTGCGAGCGCGGGGATTTAAGCCTCAAACTTGCGAGCACGAGATTCGAGCCTTGGATTCGATTCGAGATGCGCGTCGAGTTGGGAGCGGGGGCTATGGACTCGAATGCCCAGGATTTGAACCTGCGTTTTCGCGCGCGTGCATTTGCGAGACGCGGAGATTCGAGACTTGGATTGCGAGCACCGGGAGTGTGATAGTGATTTGCAATCGATCGTGCGCGCTGATGAGGATTCGAGATGCGGCAGACTTTGAGCGCGGGCACTGGCATTGAATTCGGGGACGACGGGTGTCGATTGAATTTGAGCACCTTCATGTCAATTTGCGAGCGCGGGGATTCGGATGTGGGGCCTGGACGTGGACGTGGACGATGGTGGTGAGAGACAGCGCACAGATACAACGCGCGCGCCAGCGACGAGAGGCGCGGGGCTGCGCCTGGATGTACGCGCGCGGGATGTCGATTTGCACGTGCATTTACGGGCGCGAGGATTCGAGACAGTCCCGGACTTGATTTTGATGATGGCAGGAGTGCACAGACGGCGTGCGCGCGCCAGTGGTCAGGCAAGCGCGGAGGGACGGGAAGGGACGGGACGGGATGGAGTAGCGCGCGCGGGATGAGGGAGGGAGAGGCGCAGGAGAGGGAGGTGCATGACGGGCAAGCGGATGGAGGTGGATGGAGGTGATGGCGGGAACGGGATGCGCGGCGGGCACCGGGGGCGGGAGCCGGGAGCCGGTGCGTGGAAAGGATTGGGGCGAGGCGTCGGGGGCGGGGTGCGCGTTGTGCGAAGCGCGGGCAACAGAGCGCGGGGAAGTAGAGGGAAGGATACAGACGAGAATCAAGAGAAGGGGATGAGGATTCGGTAAGAGGAGGGATGAGAGGGAGGAAATGCAATGCAATGCGGATGGATATGGACACGTGACGCTGGATGACAGGGACGGCGACGACGTGGGGTAGAGGCGATGGAGAGGATGATGGCCATGGGCCTGTCGATGATTATTCCAGGTTAACGACGCAGCAAGTGGGATGTTAGACGATGCAAGTGCGGGCCGTCCGGGTAAGACGAAAAGGGTGCGGTGAAAGAAAGTGGAACGTCGAAGAAAGAGAGGACGAAAAGAAAAGCAAATGGATGGATGTGAATGGTGAATGAGAGCCACGGGAGGTACTGATGAAATCGATGAGAGAGGATGAGAGCCGCGACGATTAGGGCGCGTGCGATGGGCCTCGAGGGCGGACGACGCGACCCACGTCCATCACGGGGTGCGCGCAGAAGCCAGTGTCGGTAAGAGGCGTCGGAGAAGACTGTTGAGGTCGAAGGACGGGGACCCGGAGAGGGCGGTTTGGGCGAGGGGCCGCGCGAGCGGGTCGACAGCATCGAGATGAGTAGGGTGGTGTTGCAATCAGCGAATTAGGGAGCGGGTGATGTCATTGATGTGGGGACGGCGACGTTGACGGTTGCCGCGACTGTGAGCTCAGCCTCAGCCTGCTGGACGCCATCGTGAATTTGATGGTGGACTCGCAGGCCACAATAGCTCGGGGCTGCTCGGCTTGGCACTGACGCCAGCCTTATATATCCCCGCCAGATTGGCTTCCGGGTCCACCTGCGCCGCGCCGCCAAACGGGAAGTTTCAACCTCGGAGTTATACAACCCAACTAGGAAGGACAGAGGTATTCAGATAGTGGTGTAGCGGAAACACGGTCAAACGTGCATTTCAGAGACAGTCCAGGGTTCGAATTCCTATGTCTAATGAAGCTTTGGCTTCATTTACTGGCATCCTCCTACAACATGATCATAAAAGCACCTGGCCGTATTATTTCAAAGGAAGTCGGATGTGGACTGTCGCAAAAATCCGATTTGGCTTATGGGCTATCACAAGCAACTATATGGCTGTATAAGGCTGTAAGTTGAAAGGGGGGGTTATGGGGGTCGAAATGCCCCTATCCTTACATATAACTGCTTACCGAACTTATAGCACTTATAAGTAGTTAAGCTATTTATACGAGGTTATAAGTGACCTGGTATGGCGCCTATAAAAAAAAAATGCCCCCACCCCCTCTACCTAGCTACCGATAGCATCGAAAAGAAAAAGAGCATATGGATTGCAATATGTAATAGGTACATGGGAGGAGAGATACATGCCCGCCAGCGGGTAATGGAAGAAGCGTACCTAGTCCACAACATCCGACAGAGGGTACCCGCTCGGGCTGCAAACAAGTCCGAGTCAGTGGATGATGGATGATGAATGGGCAAAGACTCACCGGGGCGCGAGTACAGGGGATAGAGCACTGGGGGCCGCAGGTTAGAAGAGGGTAGGTTGAGAGGCAGACGAATACACACTGTGAATTCGAAGTACCACCTCCAACGATGGTCCGCGCGCAGGTGAGTTGGGCAAGACGATGAACGGGTTCCGGGGTTGTGGTTGCGGCGATATGGCAAGGGGGTGTCGGGATTAAAATTTCGGATATAGGGGGGGGGGGGGGGGGGGGGTCCCGAGGAGGGCTGAAAAAAACTTTTATCATGTAGTATAAGGGAGTTCCAAAACTGCAATATATACCTCCTGGAGCACCACAGGATGCCAGGAGGATGAATTCTGGGTCTCAGAAGTCAAATATGGTGTGGGTATCCCGATTTGGACAGCGGATCATGCTTACACACCATCAATTGGCGCGAACAATATGCCCTGGTTTCCTCTAAGGGTGGTCAGCAGTCAAAAACATGTTCACAATATATATGAGAGTATATGGGAGAACAGATTCATATACCATTTGACATCTGTGTGTGAGTGGGTCAGAGATGTGGTCAAAGCGGCACTCCGGAGACCCTCAGTCAATGTTGAAATTGAATGGTTGGAGCTCCAAAAATATAATTTACTCATATAGGGGGTGGTATGGATGTAATGTATACCTCAAAGGTCTTCTTGATCACAGTTGAATCGATAGAGATGGGCCGCAACATCTTTGGTGTGGATTTGGATGCTGTCAATGTGGTGGCTGTGAGCCCGCACATGACTCGGAAGCGCGGCCCGCCGCTAGGGGTGGGAACCTCCTTCCTTATATAGGGGGGGAGGGGGGGGGGGGGGGTCTGGCCGAGGGTCGAAAAAAACTTTTCGACCCTATATCCGATTTTCGAAAGCCGACACCCCCTTGATATGGCGGCGGATAGACGGCGGCGGGCGGAGAACGTGCGAAGGGCGGACGTCGGTGACGGATGTGGGGAAGGGGAAGCAACGGTGGTGGTGGTACGAGATAGAGAAAGGGCGAGTTACAGAGTCACGGTGCTGCGGAATATATACGCCACAGCCCAATGACATCATTACTCCACAACTGGCCCCAAACTGTGCTCTCGTCTGTCCGCCGCGCTTGCTCGCTGGATAATCAATGCCTGCGCTACGTCGATTCGACTCCGACACCACCCACGTCTCCGACTCCGAGCCGGAGAGAGAGGCCGCTGTCTGTCGAGCCCGGAAAACCCCGAAAAGTCGACAAATCTTATCTGATTCTGTCTCTCCTCGCCCTCACGCCTATCTTCGACCCAGAAAAGCCTTGTTGGATCGTTCAACGTTCTATTTAGATGATGTAACCGACTTGGACTGGGTATTACGAGCTGGCAATTGATATCCATATTTCCGCGAGCTTTCCAGCTTTTAGCGCCGGTCGTCACGTACGTGACATGACCCAAAACAGGCATATAGACGAGCTCAAACAGTGGTCGAGGGGAGGTTTCAGGGCAGTGGAGATATAGCCTATTTGGTTCTAATACGTTAGATACACCTTCCAACCGAGCCAATACCATGGCGGAGTGAAAATGACTCTGCCACGAATATTTCAAGTCCAGCTTCGGCACATCAACCGACGACGTCCGAGTCACCTTCTGAGCCAAACACAGCCGTCTGCCAATACTTCCGAGACGAAATTCGAACTTTGACGGGTCTCGGTAGCGGCTTGAATATAGGCAGTTACAGGCACGTATAACCGGGCTGTAAGACAGCTATAAGCTAGCTATAAGTGCCTGTAAGTGGCCTATAACTCTGTAACCCTTCCTAACCCCTTATAAGCCAAAAGCGATTTTTGCGACAGGTGTAATGGGAACATCGCCTCGCAATATATATGATATTCATATTCGTATTCCGAGACTGTTCAGGGTTCGAATCCCTGTGTCTGACTAAGCTTGGGAGTAACTGTTTTGTTCTTACGTTCATTTGCTTGGTAACGAGCCACATAGAACTGCCCGGATCGATAGGAAAGGAAGTCAGACTAACGGGAACGTAGCCTCTATGATAAATGCAATGCTTACGGGCTTTTGGAGGCGGCCCAGGGTTCAAATCCTTCTGTCTGAACACGGCCTCTTCTTGGGTGGCAGGAAATCTATAGGATGTTCAGTCCCCTGGGTCTGAATGCAGGAATGTGGGTCATACAATGTCTTACCCTTTTCCTTTTCATTTCTCTCGCCTTCGAAATCGAAGTTTCAAGTCGAACATTCCTGCTCGCGCTTCGAAATTCGAATATCTAAAAAACAAGAACCCCGTTCAGGCTCTACATTTTAATTCAAACAAGCTGATAAAACCACCCGGATGTAATGGGAAATATCTCAGACATGGTGTAGTGGGAACACAACTTATTCTTATACCCGAAATATTCCATGTTCTGTAAGCGCTCCGGGGTTCGAATCCCTGTGTCTGAATGGGCTGAGCTCATCTTTTGTCTTTTGACATTTTCCATTCCTATCGAACGCGGCGGTACTACTAGCACCGCCCACTCGCTGCGTTCAACCAATATCTATATTCTTTTCTCGAAAAAACTAATAACAACCCTACATACTTGCACCTTGCGGCACACTATCCGCACCCTCCCTCCGCCCCCCGCCTGGCCCGCACCTCACATCTACCTACCTACCTCGCACCTACCACCTACCACACAACGCCACCCAGCCCGACCCACACATCCCAGAATCATAACTCGCAGATCAAACGGTTCGTCCGCTCGTTCTCGTTGGACAGGATGTGCAGGGCGTCAATTGAGGAGGTCCAGGATCTGCACTTGCGACCGGGGATAGGCATCTGGGATCGGGATGCGCGCCGATTTGAGAAGGGCTGGGCCCTGATGCGGAGCCAAGACGGAGCGTGATGTGCGTGAAGTTTAGAGTCGCGAGACGCGGGGAGTCGAGACTTGGATTTGAGATCGCGAGAACTTGGAATTGGATGTGCATTTGCGAGCGCGGGCATTCAGATATTCAGATTCGAGACTTAGATTTCGGATGTGTTTGTACGGGATTCAGATTCGACGGATGACGCAGTCGCGCGCAGGTGCGAACCTAATTTGCGCGGGCGGTGAGTCGAGCCTTGAATTGAGAAAAGAAAAGTGAATGGATGGATGGGAATGGTGAATGAGAACCACGGGGAGCAGAGGATGAAGGAAGTGGATGACGCGTGTGATGGGACTCGAGGGCGGGCGACGCGACCCAGCTCCATCACGGGGCGTGCGTAGATGCCGGTGTCGGTAAGACACGTTGGAGAAGACTGTTGAGGAGGACTTCAAGGACGCAGACACGGAGAGGGCGGGCCGTTTGGGTGAGGGGCGCGAGGGGGTGTCGACAGCATCGAGAGTAGGTGGTAGTGGTCGGACCAGGTTAGACGATGAGGATGGGAACGGGTGACGTCATTGATGCGGGACCCCTTGTGGAATCGAACCTCAGCAGCTGGCAACCCCGCCATTCCAAGGGGTATCAAGTATCGGTCGGATGGCCTATTGATTCGGCTGACTTCAGACGGAAACCCTGGGCAATTTGGAGAGGTCTTGGGCCAAAATATATCCCTTGGAGTTGGAATGCCGTTCACGTCCTCAATTTGCCTTCAAAGCTCAATCGTTCATGCGTCGAATGGGATAGCTGATGCACCTTGAAGATGCGGAAAAACGGCAGCCATCCACGGTTCGGTATCGGGGCACGAAGCATGGCCCAGCTTCCGTCAGCCCCCTGGCTCTGGAGACTCAGAGTATAGAATCGTGGATATGTCGCTGCAGGGTGGACTAAATCTATTGCAATACGACACCGCCCACGCAAGCTCCCTCCTGGCTGGCTCTGTTCATTTACCCGCGCCTTTTGCGTTGGGAGAAAGGGACTGATTTCGGGTCCAAGAACATGCTCGCATCGCACGCCCAAATCCAGTCAAGTCTGCACATCTTCTCAAGGGGTTCACTCCTCCAGTAGCACGGTAACTCCTCGCGTGGACCGTGCAGTGACAGCTCTACGGCAAGCCCCTCATGGAACCCCCGATATGCCGTCAGAGTGGCAATGCATTTGGACGTGGGACACGCAGAACAGCATGTCTAGCGCCCGGCACAGCCCACTGGAGGAAGCCGAAACTGCTGTTTCTCCACCACCACCGTTAGTCTTTCCCCGTCACCGACTCAATTTCTAACACACTCATAGGACGTCATCCAAATGCCACAGAGACCTCATCTAAGGAGCTTTCCGCCCCCATGCTCCTGGGCCGAAAGAATAATCGGCACAATCTGCGGCATCCTCACGTTAGCCGCGATTATCTGGGTCATGAAACTCATCATTCAGGACACGATGGCCACCGAGAAGGAGCTTCTCTCTAGGATCACTTCCGATACCCCCATCTCCGGATTCTACGGCCCAGGCGCATGGTGGGCATGGCTCATTACCCTTGGGATGACCAACACCCACACAAGTTTGGCCTTGCTCAAGGGCGGCGAGCTTCCACTCGAATGGGACTACGATCTCATTGGCGCATCCTGCTACACCGCCGCCGCTGCAATCGATCTCATCCTCAAAGCAAGAACAATTGCAGCCCTCGGTGATAGTGGCAGCCACTCGGTATTGTTGCCGGCTCTTCTCTGTGCGGAACGCGTCGTCGCGGTCGGGACTGGATCTTTGGTGTTCACCGTTGCGAGCGCCATTCGAGTCGGCTCCAGTCCTTGGTTACATCTCCGCACGGCTGGCATCGCCATAATTCCAGTGGTTCTCGGCCTCGCTGCCGCGCCGTTCACCTGGCGCGCTCACCAGGCTATCGTGAGGACGGCTCCCGTTCCCTGGTGTCTTTTGCACAACGGAATACCGGAGGGGATAGCCGGATTCAAGATCTTCGCCTTTGCCGACATTGACTCGCCGATCCTATTCCTCTCCCTCAAGGATATAGCCCCCTTGAAGATCCTCGAGGCGTACCTTTCGCGGGACTACTGGATCATCGCGGGGATGTCAACAGCCATTGCCACTTGCTTTGGGCTCGTAGTCCGTATCGCTCGCCGCCGCAACTTACGGATTGCCTTGATCGTCAGCGCAACTGTCGGATTCGTTTCAGGGGTGTTGTTTGTGTGCGCGCCACTCTTATTTGCGGTCGTGGTGGCCCTCCTCTGCGGAACGTTGTGGTCTGGCGGCCGTGTTTCCTCCTGGCCAGTGGTGTACATCTCCGCATTCTTCCCACGGTGCGGATACTTCCCGCTGACTGGGATATCTGTCCTGGAGATGGACCAGATGGCAGCATTGCTCGCCGTGGTCGCCGTGGCGGTGATCCGTGGCTACAAGTTCATTTTGAGGCTCAAAGGTTCTCGTAATGCGCCCGGCGACTCAGAATCTCATCCTTTGCTGCCTATAACCAATGCTGGGACAGAGTGACCAGTGAGTATTCGTTAATTCGTTGGAACCGAGCGTAAAATGTTTCCAGAGTGAATTGAAAGAACCTTGTGTGGACTCGGGGGAATGTAGGTACCAAATGGAAAGGGGCAAATCGAAGAATGAAGTATTTCGTGTTCGATTCTCAGGACATTCACGGCTCTACTGGGGTATAAGCTCAGCGTAAACAGACTTCGAAGTTACACAAAGAGTGTCTACGCGTATCAATCTGAATCGCTGTCGGACCCATCGTCCCGGAGCCCCACCTCAATCATGATTTCTGCGAACGGCGACTCGACGCTTAATTGCGCAGGAGGAATGTTCGCTCCCTCGGAATGATCCAAGACGACCTCGTACAGGAGTGTATTAACTCTGAATCGAGAAAAACAGCTTAGGGAGCTGTAGAGAGTCGAGAATCGCAGCGGCGTACTCGTTGGCATGCGTAATGTTAGCAAAATGAGGGGCTCCCTGGATGGAAGTGGGATTCGCCTCACCTCAAGGCTCCCGCTTTTCAGTGATTTGAGGAGATCCTCAGCATATCCGGTGGGATATGCGATATCGTCCGAGCCGTGGATGATGGCGATGGGTACCCGGATGCGAGCGAGTTCCGCGACGGCGGCACGCACCGCGGAAGAACTCGACCGAGATTGTGTGGAAGGTCTTAAAGTATAGGTGTCTGCTTTGGACAAAAATCTAATGAGAACGAAAACATACTGACTAATCGAAACTCATGTTTTGTTTGACATCAAGGTTGTGTTTGTGCTTTGTGGATATTCATTTTCGCGAAGCCAAGTTCAACTCTACTTTCAGAAGATTTGATTTCGCACAGTAATTTATTGTTTCCCAGCCCAAATCGAGAGACGATTTGGTGATCATTGACAGCTGGCATAAAGTGTCAACAACACTCCTCGGTGTTGACCTATCCGTCCTGATAATACCGAGTACGACGTCAAGCTGGGGTCTCAGGCGCCTACAGCTCTCGTAGTCGATGAATTGGGCCTCAGAGAAATCACAGCCAACGGAACGTGAGGTCTCAGCTCCCTTGCGAAGACGTCTACATCCACTCGGACGAGTCGTTTTCGATAATTTTACACAAATCCCAGATCTCGTTCAAACGCCACACCGTCACGGATTCTCGCTTTCCGAATGAAATGTGGTTCCCCGGCGTATATATGCCGACGGACTAAATGTGGCGGGATTACTGGGTATATATCTCGTGCCACCCGGCGCCGGTTAAATGTTGAATATCCACAGCACGAAGAAACCCGCTCTGTCTACAATTATTCACACACTAATAATAATTAAACGAGCTCATAAAAGCACCCGGATGTACTAGAGAAGAAACCAGACATGGTGTAACGGAAGCACAGCCTCCTATTCTGCTGCCGAGTCGAAATACTACTGCCCTCCGGGCAAGCCTGGTTCCTCCTGCAGTCAATGGTTAGCAATCCTATAGATTCAAGCAGATACATGTTTAGGTAATCAGCCAGCTAATAGTCAGTTACTGGACTCTTGGTTGTGAGAACTTCGGGCTCGGGAGGTATTCAAGCACAGCGAAGTGAGGGATAGACACTTTTGGAGAAGAGTTCTCGAATTTGAGTTCCACTGGGCCTTGGAAGTTGGGAGTTGTTTGGGAGCCTTGCTCCACCCAGGAGACGAGATTTGGTGCTTGCAATCACTCGGCCCAAACTCTAAGATATTGTTTCGCTCTTAATTTTAATGCCATCTCTCATAAAAGCTCTAGATCAAGCAAAAACTAGGCGTGACCCGAGATTGATGTGGGCGCTGGCATATTTCGTCGTGGGGATACTGTCCTTCGCAATCCTGGAAGTGCAGAGGCGCGGGCACGTCGGTGGGGGCGGTCGTGGTCATAGTGGTTGCCGGGTTCTCATTTGTCTTGCGATGTGCTGCCTGTGCAGCCTGGGGAATCCGAAGCCAATGAAGCGAGGCTTTTTCTATGAGGAGGATTGTGCAATAATCGGGCCGCTTTCCGCGATTTCGCTTGCCACGATTTCGCTTTCCACGATTTTTCAGGCAGAACAGCAGAACAGACCTCGCATGACATAGCTACTTAGCAGAAATTACAGAAATCGGAGCAGGTGTTGAGCTTTGAACAGGGTATATAACACCTTGAGTATTTTTTGCCATATATTTCATTGTAAGTGGACACATAAAAACCCTTGCAGATCGGAGAACCGAAGTTGAACATAGATCACGTGACCACGTGATCTATGTACAACTTATTCAATTGCGCTCTGTCGTAAAATATGGAGCGGGGAGTTCGATTTTCGCGCAGGGGAGTTTTTACCAGGGTCCGCCGCTCTCCCTTGTCAGGGGAGGATGTGTACTGCTATAAGAATGCAAGAAGTTATGCAACAGGTACCAGACACGAAAATGCAAACCGAACGACAATGCCGTGACGATACCAAACTACGCAAGCGGTGCCTGATGCACGGCGAACGTTTTCTGAACATCCACAGCTGATATTACAAAGCGTTAGAATTGGGCTTGATGAACATAAATCGGATGGGAGCTCAAAAGGCTTCAGACAGGGACACAACTAATTTTATAAAACGGGGAAATGGACTTGTTAGAAGGTTTGTACCTGCATATGTCACATTGCAGCATTTGGCCAGATTCCAAGCAGATCTCTCCGATTATACTCTTGTTTGTAAAATAGTATGGGAGCAGCGATATTGAACACTGCCCGAGGAACTTGATTCGTCGACGCCGAGGGAGATGTATTTAGTAAGGATATTAATTGACGAGGTGGGGGAACGAGGGACCTCCGGCTCTCAAAGCTGTACAATCTTCTCGCTCTGAACGAATGCCCGCAGGATGGTCGCGCGGACTTCGTAGTCGGAAATACCGCGGGCCAGCAAAGTTGGAGTATTTCCGTCCTCATCCTCATCCTCGGTCATAGACTCATCTTCGCAATCCTCGCATTCAACGACGCGAACCGTCTTGAAATCGGGATACATAATCAGCACACAAGGAACTCAAAGTCAGACACCTACATTCAGACGGACTTCCACGGCCCATGTCGGATTCTCTTCCGAGCTCCATCTGATCTCCTCTCTTCGTCCCAACGACTTCTTACGGGATTGTTTCTCCAACAACGCAACCGCACAGGCCCCTTACCAGCCCACCCTACGCGAAAGGTTCAGCTCGCCCGCAGTAGATCTGGGCTCTGCATCCCCGGCAAACTGACCAAGTAGATCGGGGGAGAGAACTACGGCGTGGGGCTCTAGGTGACTCGGGTACAACTGACCTTTTCCCCGATCCCAATCTAGAAACAAGTCAATTTTGAGCGCGAGCGGCGGCCGGGAATGTGTCTCGCGTGTTCAGGTTCCAGGAATCGCTCGGGACGGCATATGCGCATCAAAGGCGAGATGTTTCTCCGAGAATGGCACCGTCTTCGCACGGGTATCCCATGGTGTGCACGTGTCGCTGATAGACAAACGACGTAGGTGCGGCGGGCGCATATTCGACCGCACCCAGGAGAGCATTCACTCCAACGATGTTGAGCGGGGCGGCTGCGACTTCTGCGTAGGTGCCGATGTGCTCTTCCTCATCGCCGGCAAACCAAGTCTTTGGGTTGAAGAGGTGGGGTGTTCATGACTCGTGAGTGTGTTTATCAGGGGCAGTAAATGCCAGTAACAAAGTCAAAGTAAGGTGAAACGCTAAGAATGTCGATCTCAATTCGATCCATATTAGAACTGACCTCGCCTCGACGCAACCGTATCAGAATAAGCGAGGGGACGAGTTTAGCAAGGCCGCGAATAATGCGAGCCGAACACAAGCAGTGCCAGCAGAGTCCGAGGCAGGTGAGGATGGGAAGAAGTTGGTCAGGTGGTCGGACGGGCTGGGTAAAAGTGCCGCGCCTGCCGCGGCACTGGCGCGGCACTGACGCGGCACTGCCGCGCATTGACGCGGCGGGGGCTGTGCTATTGCCGCGCAGCGTTTAACTCAGTTCACCAGGCTTCCCCGGCCCCAACTGATGTTTGTGTGCGGTTTACTAACTGCAATGCATTGTTTGGACACAAAAAACCCAGTGTTCAAATTTCACTAGTCGGGCTTAGTTGACTACTCCACACGGTCAAAGAAGTTAATTATCAGGTATAGTCTTCATCAGGGATCGGACGGGTTACACTCCGCGCCGGCCTTTAATCGCGGCCTCTGATGCAGACTACAGCAGGACTCCCCCTGCAAGGGTCAGCTGATGCCCACCAATTTCCCTCTCAGGTTTATTAGAATCTTCAGTGCACATTATAATGTATTGATGGTGGTCAAAACTCAGTTAACTCAATTCGAAGGGTGGCGGCATCGCCGCGGCAATCATCGAAATGTTCGAGGTACTCGCCCTAAATATCCTAGGATGCCATTTTCTTTCGCTAATTTTTTTCTATTCTTACACACCAAATTGTAGTCCTTCCGTTATCTGCTAGTTCGAGATATGGGCATGCTGAGCTAGGCAGGTCTTAGTTCTCCACAACCACTCATTTCGTCTTATTGTACAGTCCCGAGCTCTGCCTTTTTTTCTCCGTACCCCGGGGCCCAGGCTTCAAATTCAATTACCCTGATTTCGTTCGGTACTTCGGTGAGTCGTGTCAATTCAATTCAATTCCTATCCGTTGTATTTAGATCCCAATCCCCACTGTCAATCCACTTCCGCCCTGCACCGATAAAACACCTACACAGGCACCGCAATCCCGCGCTGCACTGGGCCCACACTTCGATCGCGCTGCAAACTCCCCGGCCTGCCACCCTCCACGCAGAGTAACACCGAGATGCGGGCGTGCACTGTTGCAAGGAACAAGATGTGTGGCATGGGATATGGATTCGGGGAGTACGGTATGTTCATTGGCGGAGCAAAAACTAGGAGCTGTGGACCGTGGTGTGCCCACCTCGGCGTCAACTTGGAGTGCAATGTTCGTTCACACCGTTCACGGCTGGTTGGGGGTGCCACACTGCCGGGAATTGATGCAGTTTTTCTGTGCACCCGGGATCCAGTAGTATTATGTACGGATAGCCACCCGCAATTTACTCCCTCTTTGTTTTCGGTAGACTCGTCGTTCAGTCATTTGCACCACGTTAGTATAATCTCCCCCTCCCCCAGCTCTTTCCATAACATTTTCCGATTTTTTTTTTTTGAATTACCACTTGGATGTTCCATGAGGCTCACTGCATCATCCTCGGCCAACATTAACCCACCGGAAAAAATTCCCTGACTACACTCGTTGAGTGTGTGATTGGCATTACTCACCAACCTAAGTTGGTTATTTTGACTGCTCCAACTTGCACTCATCTCAATATACTGGAGCTGTGATTCATGCAAGTCGTGGGTTCTGGAGTAACCTTCAGGCTCTAAGTTATAGTTGTGGAGGATATTGAGCCAAACGCAGCTCAGAATAGTATTTTTTTCAACGCTGCCAGAATTAACCAACACATGTAATTTCACTCGGACTGACCGCCTTGGGCTCTGATTCTTTCATCACAGAAAGAAAAATCACAGACTTGGGTTGCTGCTTAGGGGGAGTGGCAGGCGTTCAATCGGGGACGTCAATTTACCGGCATGGTTTCAATACAGTTTACATATAGCTGCAGACTAAACTCCCATCGGACTGTTTTGCAGTGTTCCCTCGCCCAAACATTCCACTGAGGATATCAAACCCTTTGAGAGTCCACTATATGCCGGAGAATTTGTGTAAAAGTAGCTACAGTGGGCGCGGCACTCTGCCGCGGCAATTCACCCGGTGGCTGTGTTGCCGCGGCATTGCCGCGCATTGACGCGGCACTGACGCGGCGCTGCCGCGCAAGTGACGCGGACCTGTCGCGGCATAAAATCGGGTCAAATTCTTCAAGGACAAGCTCAAAACATGATTTGAGCCATAATTTATCATGGCTTTGGTATTTTCAAGGAAGAGCCCGCAACATTACCCTCAAAGTTGACTTGTACATTGAGTTCAATCAAATTTCCTGCTCAAGGCATTAGATTCAAGGTGTTCAACTCTGTAGTCCCATGGGAGACACTCAATTTCATCGTAGAACTCAAGTTTCAGATATTCCCAAGTGGGTTAGTCGGGCTTAGTCGGGCGTAGGGATTGCCGCGGCAGTGCGCGGCAGCCGCGGCATTTTCTCCTGGCCCGTGGTCGGACTATACGCCGACAACTTTATCTTCCCGACTTTTGCTTGAACGAGCACATAAAACTCCCCGGATGTGCCGAGAAGCAACTCAGATATGATGTAGCGGGAACACAGCCTCTGTTCTTCGATAAACGATGTTTGGAGGTAATCCAGGGTTCGAATCTCTGTGTCTGAATTATGCTTTCCCTCTCCTTTTCTTTTTCTTGCATCCTCCCTTGAACTCGCCAACAAAACTACTTGGATGTTTGAGAAAGTAACTCAGACGTGGTGTGACAGGAACACGGCCTCTTCTTATGTGCGTGGCGTCCAACTTTATATGAAGGTAGTCTAGGGTTCGAATCCCTGTGTCTGAATTCCATCGTTCTTCGCATTTTTTATTCAACTGTACATGATATTCACTCCTTCGTTCCTCCCGCCGAAACGGAACCAGCTTTATTGAGGAGGACGGTACAGTACTCGTAAAACAAACCACTCCCTTATTATTCTTTCCGGGGTCGACTGTAAGGTTGAACTGAATTTGAATCACGGTTACATATTACAGTAGAGTTTACGTTCCCCGCTTCTTCCTTGCCCAATAACCACCAGTGCCCATAACCGTGGGCTCGCAAGCGAGGAACGAAGTAATCAAGGATGCGTACGCGGGGAGCGTTGGTAGCCCGCGACCCGTTGAATTTTCGAGTGAAGGGTTGAACGGCGTCAGAGTACGGCAGCATCGGACGATCGAATGGGCAGAGCAGGTAGCAGCCAGGCCCACCACGACGCGACGAATAAAATTAGTGTACATAGCGGACAGATATAGAGAGTGACCTGCGCCTACCTTACACAGATTCGACAATCCACTCTATGTTAGTAGAAATCCCATGAAATAATGCGTCCCACGCAAAGCACATTTCGCGACGTAAGTTCAAACTCCGCGATTACATAATAACGGAGCCACTGTGATACAAACCCCGCGGTAAAAACTAGACTAACTTGGATACGCCACGGGGGAGGCGTGTGATGCGCCGCCGGCGCTCGAAGAGTTTGGCCCGCTCTCGAGTATTAGGGTCGCCACGCGCGCGTAGTACACCGCCAAAATATTTCAACATGGCCACGACGTGGCGGCGGCATTGATATTCGATCAAGAATACCGTGATGCCTTCTCACCACTCCATTTAAAAAATCTTTCAGATATCGTCGACTCTGTTCCACTTTCTGATTCATCCGCCATTTGACAACCCTGGAGCCAGACCTCCTTGAACGTTCCCACTCTTACCGGTGTCGAAGCCCGTATCTCGGACTTCGGTAATGGCAAAGAGATTAACAAGATCATCCGATTTCATCCTGGGCGGCTAAACTAAACAGGTTGAACCGACAAAAGATACGAAACAGGAATGGCAGATCACGATTATAAATGAGAGAACAGCGGCGAAGGAAACAGTTTTGGACAATGAGCTTCAAAAGGGACTTCAAACTGTGATGGATGGGGAGGGCGCCGCGATGGGTATTACATCCTAGGGTGCTGCGCTGTAGACCGCGTCCACAAAAACAGTGGACCACGCCGAGTCATTGAACCCGGGTTGCTCAAACACGACAGGAATTGTGGTCTTGGTCAACTTCCACTGAGTATCCGTCAGTGGCACGAACGCCCCTGCCGTGCAATTGGTCCGCTCAGCACCATGTTCACTTCCATCGCGAGCCCTGCCAGCACCATCTCCGCCGGTGCGGACGCAAGTTGATCGTGTGCTGCTTGCTGCGAGGTGGGCTAGCTCGTCCAGACCCGATGGCGACTCCATTGACGTATAGGGCGTGCACAGTTTCCGCCGTTATCATCGTCACGGCCTGGACATACCGAGTAAAAGTATATGCAGTGGCAAAACCTCCGGCCTGAATGGTTCATTCCAACCATCCAAAGTACGTCGCCTTTTGTGAGCACGCGCTTGAGTATTGATTTTGTGAAGACAAGTGACAGATAAGCTTCTGATTGACACACCGAATGTGGGATAACCATTCAATGGGTAGAACGCAGAAGTAAACGGCTCTTCAAGTTCCCCGAGATTGCGGAGGGGAACATGAGTCTCTGAGCGCTAACTAAAGAGATAGACGCCTGTGCCCGTGCCTTGCGTCTTACGCAATCGGTTCATTCCAACCATCCAAAGTACATCGCTCTACAGCAAGCGCGCCCTTGAATACTACTTCTGTGAGGACAAGCGACAGATAAGTTTCTGATTGACACAGCGAATGTGGGATTACCATTCAATGGATAGAACGCAGAAGTAAACGGCTTTTCAAGTTCCCCGAGAATTGCGGAGGGGAACATAACTCTCCGAGCGCTAACTGCAAAAATAAGCGCTTGTGCCCAGACGGAAGTCCTTTGCGTCTTACGCATTTTTTCTCTTTCTCTCGGTGATCCTCGCGGCGCAATCAGCTTCCTCTTCTGTTGCTACGCAATGCACACGTTGCTCAATGTACGTATCTATAAATCAGCCATACAAATTGGCGCCCAAGACGTCGGCGTCAAATGATTCTGTTTCTGATTTTTCAACTGAGAACTGTTTACCGCATTCAGTTGCTCAGCGCTTATCTTAGGCACACGGATTGGCGCCCAAACCGTCGGCGCGAGATGTTCCCTGTTGGCTCTCAACTTCAATCTTTGATCGTTCAACCTGCAGTAGAACTGGCTGCTGCTTTCGGTTGCGCCTCTGTCATTCTGAATGCAAACCCCGGTGTATTGGGTCTTCTGTGGGACATTTCCGACGTCCATGCTAAGCGCTGAGGCCAACTCAGATAAATTACTTTCCAATTCGTGCTATAAAAGCCGCGAGTAATAGCGATAACCAACAACTTCCCCAGTCCAAGAATGAAGCATATCCTATCTGCGGTATTTCTCGCCATTGCCATTGGTTCTGGCTGTGGATTGTCCATTTCGGAACCTGGACTGGAGATGGTAAGGAGGAAAATTCCGTTGGAGAAACCTTGTTAACTTCTCCTGCATCCGCAGAAACGGTCGTCTAACACCTGTGGAAATCCGACCGATGCCTTCCCTTTCTACAGGATCTATAACCCACCAGCAACCGAGTACCGCTATACCATCGACCCTGCTTCAGTCAGTGCCTCGGTAGCGACCCTCCAGGGCGTCGCTGGCCTCGTTTTCGCCACTCAAGAAGAGTCGACTGTCCCCTTTTATCATCTAGTCAGCGTCGCCGCATTGGACAACCTCTACACCATTTCGACGACAGAATTGAACACCGCATTAAAGAATGGATACGCCAACCTCACTACGGATGTAACCTATATCTATCCGACCCAATTATGCGGAGGCGTCCCTTTCTACCGCTTGTTTCAGCAGAACACAAAGACCACCTTTTATACAGCCTCCGAATCGGAGAGACTCGACTTCATTGTCAACCAGGGATATACGGACATCGAGATTGCCGGATATGTGTTGCCCCTGGCGTCCAATGAATGTGCTTGATAAGGTGCGCTCTATATAATTCATGGCATTCTATACGGCAATAATGCTGAATTATTGAAGTTCAGTTTGCGGTTCATCTGCGTCTTTGGTAGTTTGAAGGATGACTTTGGTACATATTCGTCGTTGTCTATCAATGTTGTGAATATCCTCCCTTTATTGAAAATTCACTCAAGTGCAACTCCACTTCGTGCCCTTTAGGGATTGGCGCCGTAACGTAAAATACGGTTACGGTTGCAGCTTTTACGGCGTCCCGTACCATATAAAGGTGGATGGCTGCGGCTTCTGCCTAGGTGCCGATGTGCTCGTCCCCATCGCCGGCACACCAAGTCCTCGGGTAGCCGGACCAAGTGAGCACCGAGAGGCGCAGTTGAGGTGAGGTGTTCATGAGTGCGTTGCTCAGGGGTAGTAAATGCCAGCAACAAAGTTCAAAGTAAGGTGAAACATAAAGAATATCGATCTCCTCCGGGTCGTTAATTCGATCCATATTAGAACAGACCTCGCCTCGACGCAGCTCACTGTGGTCGGACTTTACACCGATCGAACTTTATCTTCCCGACTTTTCCTTGAACGAACTGATAGAACCAACCCACACACATGGGAAAGGGACTCATACATGGTGTAAGGGAAACACAGCCTCATACTTTTAGGCGGTGAATCCGAAAAAATTAAGTGGCAGTCCGGGGTTCGAATCCCTGTGTCTGAATGGGTAAGGAAACAATGCTTTTTTCCTTTTTCTTTTGTTATTTTCCATTCCGATCGAACGCAGCGGTACTACCCCACCTAGAAGAAAGACTGCTCAAAACAGGACCCTTGCGCATTCGGTGTAGATTCAACCAAGATACATTTAAAAAATACTAAGAACAGCCCTACATACTAAGTACTTGCACCGCCCCAGCTCGCCCGCAGCTCTCCCCACCTACCTACTTACCTCGCACCTAGCGCACAACGCCACCCAAACCAACACATCCCGCGGGACCATCAACCAAAACTCCCGTTCGCCGTTCACGTTCGTGCTCGGAGGCGATACGTGTCGGCCGGGACTTGAGTCGCACAGTAAAATTATTCCTCCGTTCTCTTGCACTTCTATTTGGCGGTAACGTGAAAAACCCCGTTGCAAAGCCACGCGCAACTTGAACACAGTTCACGGAAGAGGCACTGATGATTAGTCTCTTCTAAACAGATGCTATAACAATATCAACTCGTACCTTGTTTGTTATAACTGATGATGGAGTGCAGCAGAGGAAAGCGATGAAAAGTTGGATGACGGTGCTTTCTCTGGGTCCAGGGATGATTTCGAGATGTAGCTACCGCTACATACCTTGTCCCGACCATTTTTGGAAATTCCGTTTTTAAGCCGTTATTAACCCCTACCCTTATTAAGGGTAATTAAGTCCTTAATAAGCCTTAACCAAAATATGTACCCTTATTAGCCCCTTAAGCTGCAACACTGGGCCGGGGGTGCGCGCCGAAGCTGGTGTCGGTAAGAGGCGTCGGAGAAGACTGTTGAGGTCGAAGGACGCGGAGCCGGGGAGGGCGGACCGCTTGGGCGAGGGGCCGCACGCGCGGGGTGTCGACAGCATCGTAGGTGGTGGAATCAGGTTCAGTTTGTTGGGACGATGAGTATGGGAGCGGGTGGTGTCATTGATGTGGGCCCATGGGGATGGCGAGCCGACACACGTTGCCCGCGCTCGACGACCGCGGTGAGCTCGACGCCAGCGCGGACTCGACGGTGCTCGTAGGCCTCAGTGGCTTGACACTGACACCAGCCTTATACATACTCTACTTACCCGCCAAATTTGCTTCCGGGTCCACCCGCACCGCGCCGCCAAACGGGATGGTTCAATGGCTCAACCTTGGTTCAACCTCGGAGCTAATACAATCCAACTAGGAAGGACAGAGGTATTCAGATATGGTGTAGCGGGAACATGACCTCTTGTATTGTCTCAGATATGTATTTCAGAGGCACTTCAGGGTTCAAATTCCTGTGTCTAATGAAGCTTTCTCTTTATATCATTTTACTTGTATCCTCCTATGGCATGATAATAAAACCAAGCCAAGCACTAGAAAAAGAACTCAGATATGGTGTAGCAGAAACACAACCTCTTCTTATCTGCAAGATTCTATCCATATAGAGGCAGTCCAGGCTTGACCCCCTGCATCTGAATTCGGATTGAGGGATCTTTTTCCGTCTTGTGCTGCTAACTTCATTATTTTACCGCCCCGCGCGGAACGTAAGGTTGAACCCGCTCTGAGGGTTGAATATCTAGTGTCCGCAGCACAAAGAAAGAACGAGAACCCCGCTCCGTCTACAATTATTCAAATGCTAATACTCCAACGAGCTCATAAAGGTAGCTGGATGTACTGAAAGGCGACTCGGACACCGTGTAGTGGGAACACAGCCTCTTCTTCTTGCTTCGGACTGATTAACCAGGAGGCAGTCCAGAGTTCGAATCCCTGTGCCTGAATGGGAGTGCAGGTAATTTTCTTTCCTTTTCATTTCTCTCGCCTTCGAACTCAGGTTCAAGCTCCAAGTCGACCATTCCCGCTCGCGCCTCGAAATTCGAATATTTGAAAAACAAGAACCCCGCTCAGGCTCTACTAGCAAATACTTTATTAGCCTATCTTAAGATCTGATTGCTTGGAACCGTATGGACACTTAAGTCGTAGGAATAGATCTTAAGTCTTACAATGTATGCTAGCCGCCTGTATTGTACCTATATACTGCTATACGACGACATTAGTAAAGATCTTAAGTCCCACCTAGGATCTTAAGTCCTGCGCCCACTCGAGTCCCGGCGATTTGCAGAACTCAGGTCCAGGGATCTTAAGTCCCGCTTCCACCTCTTAAGTCGCGGCCGACAACTTAAGTTTTGGCCCGGAACTTAAGTCCCCGCCGCCACTTAAGTCCGAGCTGTGCGCACGACACCCTCGCGCTCTGCGCCGATTCACCGTCGTTGGTGGGCACGGGCAAGGGGGACATGTGCGGCGACGTGCGTGGTACGTGCGCGACGTACTGGGGCGGGCGTGGTACGTGCCGGACGTGCTGGGGCGGACGAGGGCGAACGAGGGGCGGGCGTGCGCGACGTGCTGCCAAGCGTGCGAGGCGAGGGCGCCCACGTACAGTGCGGGTGCGAGAACGTGAGGCGTGGTGCGGCTGCGGACGTGCGAGGCGAGGCGGCGTGGGTGTGCGAGCGATGTGGGTTGGGCGGGAACGGGCTTGCGGTGGGGACCACGACGAGGGAGTAGAGCATCAGCGCGCCACGAGTCGGCTGCGCGTCGCGTCAACGAGCGTCGCAATGGTCCAGGTGCAGAAACGAATACTCACAAAGCCACCCCTTCAAACCTCACCCCGCCTGTCATTCTCCCGGGCGCCCGGGGCTTCCACGACTTGGGGTGGCAAAACATCCAAAAGTAGTCGCCGTGGTGCGGCCGGTGTAGCGAATCGACGTAAGGGCGGGGAATACTTCAAAGAGTGTGAGAAGAAGGTCAGTTTGTGGTAGAAGATGAGTTGTGGTGTTGCCACTTGCCTCAGTGGCTTCTTGTACGACTGGAAGTACATGAGCGCGGCAACTCGAGCTTGAATGGAGTGCACATGAGGTGCAGAACCTGATGGAGGACGCCAACTCGTTTCACGAGCCCGTCTAGTAACTGGGTGTCGTGCTATCCAAGTGCGTCGGAGACGGGAGGAAGAAAGAAAATTCACCAAGTCAAGCCGCACGTGGGTGATGGGACAAATATTTGACGGTGGCAAAAGCGTCTTTGTTCTTTCTCCTCAACCACGACACTCCCTTGTACTCGCCTCTGCCCCCGTCGCGCCCGCCTTCGCCGCCGCCTAACCCACCCTAGTGCCCGCCCAACCCGCCGCCTGATCCTGACGCCAAGGGCAGCAAGGGGGGCAAGCGGGGCAAGGGCAAAAAGGCAGCGCCCAAAAAACAGGTCACAGACAAGGGCGAATCTGCACCGCCTCCCCGGGGGCGCAAGGCAGATAATCAGCCCGTCCCTGAGGATGACTCCGCGCAACAGTCGGACACACGGCGCACTAAGAGAGTCCGGAGATCGCCCGAGGTAATCTTCCCGTTATACCGCTGATTGATTGACCGATTTATTCCAAACTACAGGAGGCGAAGCTCGAACGTGAGCAGAGGATCGCGACTACCATTAAACCCGGAGCGAAGCCGAGGTAAGCCTTCGTTGACATTCAACTGTGCTATTGAATGTTAATGCATCTATCTCAGCTACGAGTACGTTGAGAACTTGAAGAGCCCAGTGAAGCGCTCGAAAAAGCGATACATTTTTCGCTTCGAATGTCTCATATTCGGAACTCAAGTCCCTCCCCGTAGATCTTAAGTTGTGGGCATGCAGATCGTAAGTTGTAGGCACTTAAGATCAGCAGAACTAAACAACTCAAGTCCATAGATGGAACTGGACACGGACAGGAACTTAAGTAGTGGATTTTGGCGCGACTTAAGTAGTCAATTATGTTTTTTACAACACTTCAGATCGATAGCGGAACTTGAGTTCTGGCCGGAACTTAAGTGCTCGGAGGACTTAAGATCCCAGGTGGGACTTAAGATCCGGACTAACGTGATGGTATCTATATAAGAAATGAAGACCCCATGTGTGGGCCAGACAAGACAATTAGACAAACATACATTCGTATTGGCTGTCGCCAATGCAAATGCCGTGATCTGCTCCACTGACACAATGAAAACTGTCGAGATCCCGATATTTCTGCAGGAGCTCCACTGAACTGCTGTATTGCTATTTATAACTGTTCAGTTCGTGTCCAAACACCTTAGCCGGCAGGCCGAGTAAATCATAGAGGATTTTGGCTGCCGTTAATATAAGCCCGTTTCCCTAATGTTGAAACTTGACTTGCGAACACCAAGTGGAATTTCTATTTATAGCGGTCTTGATCAATGTTAGCAGGCTGCCGCGGGACGGAAACACGAGGCGACGGTCGGCGTTCGTCGGCGTTGACGTCAAATCGATGCGAGCGATCTCGGGACTCGCCGGTATTGGTCAGAAGCTGCATTTTTAGCGTTTATCGCCCGCGGCAAGCCGAGAAGGTACGGTCACCTCCGTCCTCACCCGTACACCTGGTAACTTTTAACCCATAGAGTTTGCTGGAAACGGGGTCGTTTACACAAGAATACACCAAACTGTCCAATAACTCTCCCATTCCAGAGCGCATATCCCTCGAAAACCACCCTCCATCCCAGCCGATCGCCGGAGGTAGCCTGCCGCAATCTGGGGAGCCGAGGATAAGTCTCAGATTGAGTCACATTGAGCAAGCCAATGCCCGTTCACCAATATTTCAACCAAAATCCCACGAAAGAAGAAGGCTCTATCCTTCCTTCCAAGCGCTGAACCAGTTTGAAGAGCGGACTCCCAAGATGGATTGGGTCCCAGCAATGTACATGTGTCTTCAAAGTTCGGCCAGTTCCCAGCAGCGATCGGCATTTGCCGACCACTTTCCTCTGCTCTGTGGAAACCCGCGCTCTGCCATACTTTTGTGGTACCATGGGCTAGGCAGGATCCCAATGTGGTGAGGAATTTTTTGAAGTGAAGATATACGTCTTCCGAACCTTCGGCATTCAAAGAAACTTGCAGCTGAACTCTATTCAGCTAACTTGCCCTGATTTTTGAGTGTCAGTGCGGCATTCGATGTGTTTGCCTCTTGATTTGCTGTTCAACAGCCAGATGCATGCATGGGATCGGATTATCTGCCCATTTTTTAAGTCATTTTGCACCAATTCTCACCGCCTTCACTCGATGTCGATTGATGTCGGGAGGCAACAGGGAGCAATTGAAACAGTTCTCCAACTATCGGTTGGAGGCTGATGGAAAGAGAATGTTTTCAAATCATCGATTTCAGTTTCAAATAAGTTCCTAAAGATGCCGGAGATGTCGGTGAGCAATCATTTATGTGCTGATTTGTGGCCGTCGTAGGCTACCACAAAGAGTAACTGGGTCTTGAGGAACACCCCAACTGTCGTATATAGGTTATTATCATCGAGACAACCATAGACGAAATCAATGCTTTGTACAACTCAACCAATGAATTTAAAACTACATTATCCATTCTGCCGTTGGCTGGAAGTTTCAAGCTATCGGGAACATATGATGAGGGCTGTGGAGTACCTCCGATTGGCAGTTATTGCAAAGGAGAATGCCTAGATCACGAGGAAAGCACTTACCGAGTAAGTAAGTAGTTTCAATTGCAAATGAAATTCAGCATCAAAACTGCAAACTAGGGGTCGACCGACTGCACTCTGTGAAAATTCAACAATGACATGATTTAACCTGATAACTACCCGTAGCGTAGCACGGGCAAACTGCTAGTAGCTGTATATATGTACAATACAGGCGTGTAGGGTAGTCGTCGGTCTTAAGATGCATGGCTACCACTTAAGTGGCCATACGGTTCCGGGCAGCCGGATCTTGAGAAGGGCTCCTCTTATTTCATCTACTAGTACATTCAATCAAAACCCTGCTAATACTCAACCAGCTGTTAAAGCCATCCACATGTACCGGGAGGCAACTCAGACATGGTGTAGTTGGAACGCGGTCTCCTCTTATGCTTGTTCAACTCAGGTATTGAGAGACAGTCCAGGGTTCGAATCCCTGTGTCTAAATAGGGTGGGGTCCATTTTCCTTTTCTTTTATCATTTTCCAGTCCTACTCATCGGACACGGCGGTATTACCCCACCCAAGAAAAACGAGACCCCCTCATGATCACTCTGCGTACATTCAAACAAGATCTTTTTTTTTTAAAAAAAAAACCAACCATATATACATACGAAGTACTTGCACCTCGCGAGGCACTCTCCGCACCCTCCCCCTGCCGCCAGCTCGCCTCGCCAGCACCTCTCCGTCCCTACCTACCTACCTCACACCTACCGCTCAACGCCACCCAATCCGACCCACACATCCCGCGGGATCGAGTCATAAACCAAACCCCCGTTCGCCCGCGTTCGCGTGCGCACGCGTTCGTGCTCGTCGGAGGCGAGGCGCGTCGGCCGGGACTTGAGTTTGCGAGCGCGGGGATTCAAGCCTCGAACTTGCGAGCACGAGATTCGAGCCTTGGATTCGATTCGAGATACGCGTCGAATTTTGCGAGCGCGGACTATGGACTCGAATGTCCGGGATTTGAACCTGCATTTTTTGGCGAGCGCGTGGACGCGGAGATTCGAGACGTGGATTGCGAGCACGAGGAGTGTGATTGTGATTTGCGATCGATCGTGCGCGCGGGTGAGGATTCGAGATGCGGTGCACTTTGAGCGCGGGCACTGGCACTCGAATTTGAAGCCAAAGCTTGGGGACTTGGATTTGAGCGCCTGCATGACGATTTGCGAGCGCGCGGATTCCGATGCAAGGCCTGGACCTGGACCTGGACGTGGATGATGGCGGTGAGAGACAACGCGCGGAGTGACGGCGGGGTTGCGCCTGGATGTACGGGCGCGGGATATCGATTTGCATTTGCATTTACGGGCGCAAGATCCCGGACTTGATTGTGACGATGGCAGGAATGCAGAGACGGCGTGCACGCACCAGCGGTCAGGCAAGCGTGGAGGGAAGGGACGGGGCGGGGCGGGACGGAGTGGCGCGCGGGATGAGAGAGGGAGAGATGCAGGAGAAGAAGTGCATGACGGGCAAGCGGATGGAGGCGAATGGCGCTGATGGCGGGAAGGAATACGCGGCGGGCGCCAGGAGCTGGCAGCCGGTGCATGGAAGGGATTGGGGCGAGGTGTTGGGAGCGGGGGGCGCGTTGTGTGAGGCGCGGGCGGCAGAGCGCGGAGAAGCAGAGGGAAGGATGCAGACGATCAAGAGAAGAAACAGGAGGGATGACGGGTGCGTGCGTTAAGAGAAGCGAGCGGAGGAATGAGAGCAGGAAGGACAGGAAGTGGGCGTGAGAGGCGGGAACGAGAGCGGGACGGGGGAGGCCGTGTGGTGGCGGACAAAAAGAGAAAGGACGCGGATGGACGCTGAAAGGGGCGGAAGGATGCGGAAAGTGAAGCTGTGAGAGCGCGCCACTCTCGCACGAGCCCACAGAGAGGATGAAGGAAGTGGATGGCGCGGACTCGAGGGCGAACGACGCGGCAGGGGTAAAGCACGGAGTGGTCGGTGTTGGAGGCGTCGGAGAAGACTGTCACTATTGAGAGGACGCGGAGCCGGGGAGGGCGGGCCGCGTGAGCGGGGTGTCGACAACATCGAGTTGGTAGAGTTGGAACGAACCGGGTGACATCATTGATGCGGGGATGGCGAACGGATGCATGTTGCACGCGACAGCGAGGTCGATGGTAAGCTCGACGCTGTCTGGACTCGACGGTGCTCGTAGGCCTAGCTCGCCTTGGCTGACCAGCCCTATACATACCTGTCAGAGTTGCTTCCGGGTCCACCCGCGCCGCGCCGCCAAGCGGGAAGGTTCAGTACGCCAGCGGATAGTGGTAGTTGAATACATCACGCACCTGTGGTTAGAGATGTGCCGTGATGCATCATACCGGGTCAGCTTAGAGATATGCATGATGCATCACTTGCATCACTCCAGGCTGCAGCTTATATCCGGTAGGTCTTCCTGATCGGGTTCCTCCAGCTGATTGATTTCTTGCGCCATCACTGTTGCGGCGGCGCATGTCCGCCAGCGATGGCGGCCTATTGACACATGTTAGGATGCCACAGCTGACAGCTTGCTTCCGCCCACAACTGTGCTCGTCCTTGCGTCCCCCCTGGTCCTTTCCTCCCTTAGATATTTACAGGATGACTTATACAACAATACCGATGAACGTTGGGTGGCCTCGCTATGCTCCCTCCTCCCCTTGTCGGGCCGCACTACCAGTTTTAGTGCCGCCGCTGCCACCGCCGCTTGCGCGCTCCTTACTGCGCACCAGTACCGGCGGGATGTCTCCAACAGACTTCTTCCGCTCCCTGTGTCCTGTTGGAGCCTGTAATTGTGTGTCTAGGCCCTCTGCTCGGGCTGTTCCACTCAGTTTTATCGTCCCCGCCGCTCCCGCTTTTTGTGCCACCCTTACGCACCCCAGCTACTCTGTGCATCGCGATTGATTGCGTAAATTACGCTCCACCGTATACAGAAGACTCGCGGTAGCAGGTCCCCTTCTACCCCCGCACTCCCGACTTTGGGGTTTTTGCCTAGCCCCGCCGTTTCGGTCGTCTAGCCGCAGGCTCAGTCCCTACAGCGTGTCCCTCAAGGCCCGAGTAGAGCATCCCTACGTGCGCTTCCCGCCTTCGTCGCCATACACTGTCTTCTGCCCTGTTATCACTGCTTTCTAACGCACCCGCCTCCTGCCGTTTCTTCCGCCCTTGGGCCGCGCAGCGGCTCCTGTAATTTAAAGGGTCATTTTAAACATCCTCCTCTCTTTGTGGGTTGATAGTTGATGCCATTGGTGTTTTTTTTGCCGCGCGCTACCGGTTATAGCGCCCCTCGCCACCCCCGCCATTTCTACCGCCTGCCTGATGAGTCGCGGGCGCGCCAGACATTCAATTCAGTCCTGGGTATATCACATACATTATATCTCTCCCGCAAGCTCGCAATCGCCTCTGTGGACCTAATTCCCACCTCGCGCTCCAGGCATTGTTGCCCCGCCTCTCCCCCGCGTTTTCGCTGCCCTTGCTCCCCGGACCGCCAGGGAGGGATACTATGATTCTACCCTCGTTTCCCCCTCTTGCTTTCGTCCAGTGATCCCCCCCGTATGTCGTCTGCTCGCCCTGTACCAACTGTACCAATTAATGCCCTTTATCATTGATTTTTCCCCTCCCCGGCTTCCTCCCTATGCTTGCTAGCTAGTTCATGTGTTCCTACTAGCTGAATACATCAGATTTCATAGTAAAAACCCTCACTCGAGGAGCTCTTCGGGGAATGTACCGCCTCGTTTGGACCTCGATAAATTAAGCGCCCGCGAGCGTCTAATCTTCGGAGCCCGCGATCTGTTCCTCGCATCAGGCACACTGGGCCTTAGTGTTATCAGGGCGTCATCCATTAGGATATTACGAGTGCCCTATATTACCTTTCCAAGTCCAGAACCCTTTGAGGCAGCAGGATGTCCATTTTCAGCCTGCATCTACCTCGAAATTCCGGATCCCTATTTTCCCGTCCCGTCGATGCATCGGCTGTGTGTGCGTCTACAGTTCGCAATAATGTCGGCCTTGATCCTTTTTAGAAACCTAGAAAAATAACCAGCGGGGTAGAAAATCACACCACAGCATCCTGCAATCCATGGAACCGGCGGATCCGGTACATACCTCATTTACATTCCTAGGTGTTTCCTCCATCGGAGGGCTCATATGTCGGGGAACAGGGCACCCAGGAACGATCATACAACATGAATTAGCTGTGAAAAACTTTCTTTCCCAAAAAAACAGAGATAGTTGGAAGACTGCGTCGAGCTCCGTCGTGTGGGTGCTAATGAGGTTCTGGAATGGTCAAAATTTGGGCACAAAAAAATAAGTTCTTCAATCTCGAAATTTTGTCTATATCGGATAACGGTAGGTCAAGTTACGATGTTCCATGATGCAAGCCTTCCGCAGATGACCTCTGTATTATCGACAATGGCCGATCCAACATGTGGCTAAATTTTGACCTCCCCCAATCACGTATCAGGAGATATGGATCACATTGGGTTCTAAATACGATGGTTTCCTCGCGCTCAGAAGTGTGAAATATGCGATACTCGTGTCCTCACAAACAAAACATTTTGTGGCTAAAGGTGCGAACGCCCAAAAAGGTTATTTGATCCGATCAAAACCAGCTCTCGCTCCTCTCTCTTTCACTGTAACTCGCGTTCCTTGGCGTCAAAACCCCCAGGATTCTGGCGATGGACTCATCATATTCGACTCTTGGACTTCCCACCTCATACCTATGTCCGGTGTCCTGCACTGAGCCTTGCCAGCGTGAGATGTAGTACGCCTACATCCAGCTTTCCTGGGCTCAGAATCTTCGACTACGACACCGGTTCTTTGCCAAAGTCCGGAGAATGACCGTAAAATTGATTTAACCTCGATCTGGGAGATACCTAGGTGCGCAGCAGTTGATTTGCGCAATTCGCGGTATTGTCATATTCCCTGGCAATCTTTCCGAGGGCGAGGGCCATAGTCTCATTTAGACTTCCAATCAGCTAAAAACCCTCTGAAATACGATCCAAGTCCGTATCTCGTTTCATATCTACCCATAATACCTAACCGTGAGCCCATCTTCCCCCTTCTATTGTGCTCCTGACGCCTGCGCGCAGCCCTGCATGGATACATGCGACATTGTGTACCCCCGGGACTGTGGGGACAGGTGCGCGACACCTGGTGTAGACCAGAGCATATCACGCAAGGCCCAGAACGTGCGTCAGCGAGTCGGGCGCCCCCGCGCTACGCCGATATTCCTACCCCATTGAAATGTGTTCATATAGGAGTTCATATGACGTACGCGCGGCGTCGGACGCGGTTGCAATGCGTGCAATAGCAATCGACTCGACCCCCGCACTTCGGGACGGAAAATCGGGCGAACGGGAATCTCGAGTCGCCCCCATTCACCAAGATGGTCGCACATCCCGGCTATACACATCCGGAAGACTCACTGCTCCGTGGATGAGCCACGCGTAGGCGTGCAAGATACGACCAGCGCCTGGCGCGGCCGCGCAAGGGCATCGGTGCACAGGATGTATGCTCACGGCATCGGGCGCTCGCGGACGGGGCAAAGTGTACGACACCCGTCATGGACGGCGGTGAGCTGGCACGCCAGAGGGCATGGAGGGAGGAGGGCAGGTGAATGAGGGGGCACACGGAGAACGATGCGAGGGATGCGCGACCGGCAACGCGCGCGGGGCGTTCGGGTAGGGGCGCTACCCATCCGGAGGTGCTCGCCATGCTCCAGAGGGCAAGCACACACAACAAGGACCCCCTGCGCAAGCGAGGGCGCGGCGTCAATGCGTCAATGTGGCGGGCCCTGCGAAACCACAGCGCGCTGGTCTCGTGCACGGCGTCTGTTATAGCAGTGGGAGAGCTGGCGGTCGAGAGAGGTGCGGGGGGATCAGGGAGGAACGGCGGCGGATCGGGATCGAGCGCGCCAAGGGATACGTCCCCGGAAAACGCGTGGCGCGTGTCCAGCCTGGACGGGGACGTTTGCAGCGCGCGTGGCGGGTGAATGCATGCAACACTGACCGGCGGCATGCGCTACTGGGAGTGTAGGGAGCAGAAGCGGAGCGCGATGTACCCGGACTCTCGTAGAATAAAAGTGCAATTGGGGCCGCTGAAGCCCACGCTGTTATACCAGACCGGCTTCAATACAAAGACAGACATCACAGCTTCTCGGCCGCCCATTTTCGCCGTGATTGGCACCCGCAGAAGAATTGGTCTGCTCGTCGTTGATGGCGACGTCGAGAGCTCGAGCTCATCGTGCCATCAAAGATCAAATTCTTATGTCACCCCGTCTTTTGATGGTCGGCAGCCGTGTTTCTCGAAAGAGTTCTCTGGCTTGCTCTGGGCACTTTTAACCCCGAAGGGACATACTCTAAGGTGATGTATCAAGCATATATGTGAGGTTTCCCTATATGATGCATCATGGCACATCTCTAGTTAGAGGTGCGTGATGTATCACACACCCACGATCTGGTGAGTACGCGGAAAGACATGAAGGAATCAGGCATGGTGTAGTCGGAAACACGGCCTCTTCAAGTGTAGAACTTTATGGCGGCTGATGCTTTAAGAGGCAATCCAGGATTCAAACTCCTATTTCTGATGAAGCTTTATCTTTATATTATTTTACTTGCATACTCCTACGACATCAATAAAGCTATCCAGCTTTAGTGAGGAAGAATTCAGACATGGTGTAATGGGAGCATCGTCTCGCAATATATATTTGGTAGTGGTTTTCATATTACGAGGCTGTTCAGGGTTCGAATCCCTGTGTCTGACTGGGGAGGAAATCATCATTTTTGTTCTTATATTCATTGGCCCAGCAGCGAAGTAATGAAATGCCCGGTTGGATGAGTCCAATCCCATGTATGTGATGCATTTTTCTTTCTTCCTCCATTCCCCTTAAACACCCTAATAAAACTACAGTTGACTATCTCGCAATGCATATGGTCTGCTCCCCTGCAAAGCTCTTGAGACTGCTATGCATTGTGAGATTTATGCATTACGAGGCACGGTTTACAGTGAGAGTTGGCTGTGTCTGTGTCTGTAAATACTAAATACTGCTTGAATATTAATTTGAAATGAGGAATGATGAGCTCTGGACATGTTTGAGCTTTTGGTAGGCAGGAGGAGAAGGGATGTGTGGCTTTGTTTGGGGCGGATTTGGGGCGCGTTTGGGTCATGTGCCGATTATGGCAACTTCTTGTCTCTGTCTTCTCCGTTCAACATTGATAAACATCGATCTGGACCAAGCGTGGATGTCCTGGAAATGCGAGGGCTACGCGCTCTGGCTAAATCAACTCCTGTACTTCTCTCTGCGGTGCATCGTTCTCTGGATGCATCGGATCGTCGATTCGTACTATGATTCGCAGGCCGCTTCAACTCAACTTCAACTTGTTCGCGATGCAAGTGGGCAGTGCCGCTCGTCGGCCCTACCCGCTTTATCAGGACTTGAGAGGCAAGATTTTTAAATTATGTGAACTGCCGCAAGTTGGCATTACAAATTCTCGAAAAGTATTCAACGTCTACACGAACGGAGGAGCCGGTCAGCACAAGCTCGGGGCGCACAGGTGAGGTGAAATACCTCTGATTAGTAATACAAGGCTACGTCAAGACCTTGCGACCTATACTCAGCTATCCTTGCCTGAAACTCCAAACAGAGATCGCCATCGTCATCCGTCCACCACCGTGACTGTATCATAGCATCCAACACATCTTACTCGAAATCGGTGGCGCAGGAGAAGGAAATGGTCTCGAGTCTGGGAGCCAACTGCAAGACGTTTCCTTCAGAATACTGGAGACCCACAAGCAGGGTATCGTCGAAGGACTCCATACAACAGTCCATTCGCAGCTCCGTGAGAGATGGAGCATGTCGAAGTACGGCCAAAGGATCGCTGGATCTCATGCGCGAGTTTTCAATCGACATCCGTTCGATATTAGGAGTTCTGATCTGGAACTGGGTAAATTCCAGGGATGGCCAGATGAGGTCGAGATCGAGGTCTAGGCTGAGTTCTTTCAGCGCGATGTGCGCCAGACACACAAAAAACAACATGAAATGCTCTTCAAGAAGACCTCGCGATGTAGAGACAGCCAAGGTGAGGGTTTTTAACCGAGACAGGGTAGTGATACCTGTCTCCGACAGATCTGGGTGTATCGAACTTTGCAGAAACGATATTCGTGCACGGAAGGAGAGCGTTGACGCAGATCCGGGGAGATGAGTTGGTCACGGAGATGTCAATCAGCTGGGACCATGGCATTGAAGGGAGAGCGGTTTGTCGAGAAGTAAGGTGGCGGAGACGATGAGCATTTAAGAAGGTTACGACCTTCGCATGGCTTTGCTTGTCTCGAGTTTCTAACGTCAGGAATTGAAGGGCTCCCAAGGAATTTGGGGGAATGCGAGACAGCAAGGCCAGTGAATCGAGCTCGAAGGTCGTCCGCTCCCACCGATGGGCTGCGCTGATCAGCACTGCCTGATTCGACCCTCGTCCAGAAATGCAATGGTGCCGATCTTTCCAGCCAGCTCCTCGCACCGGCTATGTCACTGTCTGTCGGAGTTGTCTCCAGCCACATCACATGATGTAACGACGAGCAGAAATTACAGAAATCGGAACAGGTGTCGAGCTTGGGACAAGTTATCTAACCCCCTGCAGATATAGTTCCAGACCGGAGAACCGTAGTTGAACACAGTCGCATGATCTATGTTCAACTTGTTCAATTGCGCTCTGTCGCAAAATATGGAGCGGAGAGTTCGGAATTCCCGCCGGGGGAATTTGGCCTTTAAAGGAGCTTTGTACCTACTTACCTCCAGTCGAAAGGCGAGCTCGATTCTTCGCGCGGGGTGGGCTGGCAGGGAGACTCGAGGATATCTTGTTAAATATGCTGGGAGCCGCGATGTTGAATGCTGCCCATGTAACTTAATTCGTCGCATCGAGGGAGAGCGAATTATTGTATGTAGTAAGGATATTAAATAACCAGATGAGAGGAAACATGAACCTCCAGTATTCAAAGTTGTGCAGTCTTCTCGCTCATGACGACCACTCGCAGGACGGTCGCGCGGACTTCGAAATACCACGAACAGGTAAAGTTGGCGCATTTCCGTCTTCATCCTCATCCTCGCTCCTCTCATCTCAGTAATCCTCGCATTCAACCGTTTCAACGACCCGAACCGCCTTGAAAGTAGCATACATATATGATCAGCACACACGGAACTCGAATCGAATTTAAAACGCCTACATCTAGACGGACTTCCACAGCCCATATCGGATTCTCTTCCGAGCTCCATATAATCTCCTTTCTTCACCCCAACGACTCCTTAAGGGGACCGGGCCCTTCTGGAGCCCATCCCGTGCGAAGAGTCTAGCTCGCACGCAGTAGATCTGGGCTTTACATCCCCGGCAAGCTGACCAGGTAAATCGGGGAGAGAACGACGGCGTGGGGCTCTAGTTGACTCGGGTACCACTGTCCGTCCTCCCCATTCCAATCTAGGTCCCAAAATTTGAAGGGCGGACCAGGAAACGACCGTCGGATCTAGAAACCAGTCAATTTCGAGCGCGAGCGGTGGCCGGAGATGTCTCTCAGGTACTCAGATTCCATGAATCGCTCGGGCCAGGGGTGGCGGTCGGGACGGCATATGCCCATCAATGACGAGATTTTTTGTCCGAGAATGGCGGCGTCTTGGGGACGGATATCCCATGGTGCGCGCATGGCGCTGATAGACAAACGACGTTGGTGCGGCTGGCACATATTCGATGGCACCTAGGACAGCATTCGCTCCAAAGATATTAAGGTGGACGGCTGCGGCTTCTGCCTAGGTGCTGATGTGCTCGTCCCCATCGCCGGCACACCAGGTCCTCGGGTAGCCGGATCAAGTGAGCACCGAGAGGCGCAGTTGAGGAGGTGGAGGTGGGGTGTTCACGAGTGCGGTCGTTAGTGGTAGCAAATGGCAGCAACAAAGTCAAAGTAAGGTGAAATACCAAGAATGTCGATCTCCTTCGGGTCGTTAATTCGATCCATGTTAGAACAGACCTCGCCTCGACGCAGCCATATCAAAGTAAGCGCGAGTGGGGCGAGGTTAGCAAGACCGCAAATAATCCGAGCTGAACACAAGTAGTACCAGCAGAGTCCGAGGCAGGTGAATAGCGGGAGATGGGAAGAAGTTGGTCAGGTGTTCGGACTTTATGCCAACGGAACCTCATCTTCCTGACTTTTCCTTAAATAAGCTCATAAAAGCAACCCAAGCATAAGGAAGGGAACTCAGATGTGGTATAGCTGGAACACAGCCTTTTCTTATATGCAAGAATAATTACATATGTAGGTAGTTCAGGGTTCGACTCCCTGTGTCTAAATGTAGGAATTTGGGTCACGATTTTTTCTTTCTTTTCCTTTTCATTTCTCTCGCGTTCGAAATCGAAGCTTGAAGATCTAACTCAAGTCGAACATTCACGTTCGCGCCTCCAAATTCGAATGTCTAGAAAACAAGAACCCCGTTCAGGCTCCACCCTGTCGATACTCAAACAAGTTGATAAAGCCACTTGGATGTACTGAAAAACAAGTCAGATATGGTGTAGTGAGAATAGGGTCTCTTCTTCTGCGGTCGAATTTGCGAGATTACAGAGGCAGTCCAGGGTTTGAATCCCTGTGTCTGAATTTGGGTGGAGAACTTTTTTTTGTCTTGTGTTACTTCATTTCTTCACCGCCCCGCGCGGAACGTACGGTTGAACCCGTTCTGAGGGTCGAATATCCAGTGTCCACAGCACAAAGAAAGAACGAGAACCCCGATTCAAACGCCAATGCTCAAATAAGCTCATAAAGCTTCCCGGATGTATTCAGAAGCAACTCAGATATGGTGTAACGGAACACAACCTCTTATTCTGGAAATTTCGTGACAAGGTAGAATTAAGAGGCAGTTCAGGGTTCGAATCCTTGTGTCTGAATAGAAAATGCTTGATCGAATCTTTTTCCTTTTCATTTCTCCCACGGTTCACGCTCCAAGCCGACCATTCCTGCTTGCGCCTCGAAATTCGAATATCTTAAAACAAGAACCCCTTTCAGGCTCTACATTCAAACACCACCCTGCTAATACTCAAACGAGCCAATGAACCTCCCCGGATGTATTGAGAAGCAACTCAGACATGGTGTAATGGGGACACAGCCCCTAGCGATAAGAAGATATTAAACTTCAGAGGCAGTCCAGGGTTTGAATCCCTGTGTCTGAGTGGGTCGAGATTAAGTCATCCTTTTCTTTTGTCATTTCCCATTCCTATCGAACGCGGCGGTACTACGTGTGCTTACACCACCAGGAACCCCGCCCACTCGCTGCATTCAACCAATATCCATTTTTCGAAAGAAAAAAAACTAATAACAGCCCTACATACTAAGTACTTCTGCTGTCCGCCCCCAGCTCGCTCGCCCTCACCTCTCCCTACCTACCAACCTACCTCGAACCTACCGCACAACGCAACCCACCCGACCCACACCCACACATCCCGGAATCATAAATCACAAGACAAAACCCCCCGCTCGCCCTCGTTGGCGTTCATGCTCATTCGTGTTCGTCGGAGGCGATGCGCGTCGGCCGGGACTTGAGTTTGCTAGCGCGAGCGTGGCGATTTAAGAATGTCTGGGACGTCGATTTGGGCGCGCGTGGACTCGGGACTCGGACCTGCACTTGCGAACGGAGGATAGGCACCTGGGATCTGGATGCGCGCCAATTTAAGAAGGGCTGGGCCCTAATGCGAAGTCAAGATGGGACGTGATGCACGTGAGGGTTGGAGTTGCGAGACGCGGGGAGTCTAGACTTGGATTTGCGACCGCGGGGGTATGTATCTGGATGCATGCCGATTTGAGAAGGCCTGGGGCATTGCGAGCGCGGGGACTAGGATTCTGATTCTGACTCGGATGTGCTTGTACGGGACTTGGAGCCGGGATTCAGATTCGATCCGGATCCGGAGCTGCAGACGACGCAGCCGCGCGCAGGGACGACGCGTCGAGCCTTGAATTTGCGCGGACGGAGAGTCGAGCCTTGAGTTGAGTTATGCGAGGATCCGAAACGAGCAGTTGCGCACGCGGGGATTCGATGTGTATGAATGGGATTTGAGGGCCCTGGACTTGGATATGGGGATGGGGATGGAGAGACAGCGGGCGGATACGGCGCGCTCGCACCAGCACTAGCGGCGAAGGAAGCGCGGAGGGACGGGACAGGGCGGGTAAGGGTGCGGTGGTGGCTGGGAACGCGCAGCTGTGCAATTTTCTGAGGCCACTGGGATCTGTGTCATTTTTGATATTCCTGGGGTGTATAAATCGCAAGCGAGAGGTGCAGAATTGTGTATAAAACCGAAACCTCCTCCTGGTAGTGTAAATTTTCACGAAAAAGTGCGGGTAGTGTTATGAATAATATTGTTACAGTATTACAGCCATACATCCGCCCTACCGATACATTGTGCTTGAGCCCTCAGCTATTTTTCACATATATCTCTACATCTTTCACCCAGAGTTCTGCTGCCTCGGGTTAACCTGGGCAGGTAGACATTCCCTCCTGTGTACTCGCACGACCACTTACAAGGAAAAAACACATTGAATCCGTCGCCGGTGGGTCCCGGAGAACATCAAGCGGTAGAATAATTCGGTGGTGCCTCTCCTACATTCCACTGACGATTCTGCGGCCTTTGGTTCAATAATTGTAGTAATTGCTCCATGGGAACTGGGGAGTCGTGAGCATTTTCCGTGTTTCCTTGGTCTGTGGCCGTCTGGCTATTAGCCGGCATGATTGTGGCGGAAGGCGGCGGAGGAGTCTGATTGTCGCCAGGCCTCTCCCTTGGATATGATCTCGCCGTATTGAAGCTACATCAAGGAAGTCAGAAAAGTTGCTGGCGCGCGAATAGATGTGATAAATCTAATACTAACGAGAAAAACGGTTCCGGTACGGCATTTGGCGTCATTGAACCGTTGTGGATGCAGGAACGTTGTCTGCGCAGGAGCCACAGGATAGCTAGAATGAGGGCTAGAAAAATGATCCCCCCCACTGTACCACCCACAATAGTGGGAGTGTGATTAGACTTGGATGGAGATAGAGAGGCGGATTGAGATGGAGAGGCGGATGGAGATGGAGAGGCGGTTGGCAATAAGGAAGTCTCTAAGCCGAGGGCACTAATCAGAGCTCCAAGAGCAATAACCTGATTGAGTCCTGAAAAGCTGGAATTCGGTGGACCGGTCCAAGATTGCCCGTAGATACCGGTGCTATCTAATGTAGCGGGGCTAGTGACAGCATTAAACTTGAACGAAATGATTGGTGTGCCGAGGTATTCCGCCTTTTGTCACATACCTGAACAGTGATGTACTTGCTCACATATTGGCGCAGAGTAGAATTTATTGATTGGCGGGTATATGCTGAACCGAGGCCCTGTAGTAGATACAGACTCCCATGTTTCCCAGCGGCTCGAAGTCGTAAAGTTAGTGAACAGATATGATATCGATTGAGAAAGCCGAATCACCGTCGTTATGGGACACAATCCCATTATCACCCTGCCAAATCCTGTTGAAAATTGAAGTCCGAAGCATATCACTGAGCCTATTTCCGAATTCACTATCAGGATTGCGCTCAGACTGTGAGCAACTGCGAGGGACTGGCTTACAGGTTTTGCGTAGAGTCGCTCTTTGAGATCGAAGAAAGGATAGACAGGCCTTCGATCATCACGCCTGACTCGTTTGGGTCCTCGTTGCTGACGACTCCACACGTCGGGTCAGAAGTATCATTCGCAGAGATGAACGACTGAATAATGTTCCGAGGGTCGAATAGATGCGAAAGAAGGAAATTTGCTGAGTCGTTCGCGGCTTGGAGATATGCAGAATCGGACGTTGCCTCTGCCAGCAGGGCGGAGAGCCTAGGGGATAGATCAGGGACGTGGCGGGCCGTAGCTACGAAAGGACCAACACGATAAATAATCTGGATTGTACATCTGAGTTTTGTAGAAAGGCCCCAACCATCCTGAGCTTACCCAGTAGTAAAGCCTTCGATAATGGGATCTCCGGTGGTGTTGAACTTTGCTCTTCAAATTCAGAGCTATTTAAAAGCATAGCCAATGACAAGACATACCCGGAATGTTCCTCCGACTTCAAAAACCAACTTATCTCAGTAGCTATATACTATTGGTCAAGTTGATGTACCTACCCATCGTAGCTACGGAGGCGTTTCAGCCAATGACATCCGGTCAATTCCACACCACTCACCATCTCTGCAAACTTTTCGGAGCGTAAAATTCTTACCCGCAATTTTCCCGGCGGAAAGATCGCTCTGGGATATAGTTCGCGATCTACCGACCCACCAGGATTGAACAGCATATTGAAGGAATTGAGGATCCTTATACGCAGTGTATGCCTTGACTGCTGCATATCCATATGATCTACGAAATGTCTGAATACCGGCCCGGATGGTGTTTAGCGATCTCACAGTCCCCAGGATGTCTGCGCAATTGTTCACTGACATGAGCCGAAAAAGAGTGGAATTTAATAAACAAACAACTGACACTAATAGAGTGTCAATCGAAGTGAGCGGATTATTCCTGCCGAATACACTCACGCAGAATCCGTAAAGTTTTGGCGCGCGCTTTCAACAATCCCGAAGTATTGCTTGAGTGTCTTGTAATTATTGGTATGATTTGTAGCAATATCGAACTCCGCCATTTGAGAGTACAAGATCCCTGTAACTCCGAATTCATCAGCTGAGAGAGTGAAACAGAAGATGATCAGTCGCATTGAAGGAAGTGAGTGCTACTTGCGCACCGTCTAGTAGCCCGTCTGTACCGAGTTGGGCGATCGCTACATCCAAAGCTGCCCTGGCAATGTTGACTCGCTCTGCGTTAGAGGTTGTGAAAGTCGAGTTCTAACAAAGCCGTCAATAATCCCGGTGTATTGAGGCAATGCAGGGACCCACCCAGGAAGAAGGGATAACTTGCGAAGCGACGGACAGGACTTCGAGCAGCACAAAACCAAAGGGGAGAAGCAAGATCATCGATGAGTGGCCACTGTGGGGCAGGCGGTACAGTTCTGGAAGGGAGGACTTCCGCTTTGTTCTCTTAAGAATCTAGAACACTTCGAACAAGATCTTTTCCTTCGCACTGAAGCGGTAATCAATCAGCAACCAACACTTGAAATAAACAATGCTTGAATCTCGTGAGAGACATAAGCAACAGTCGCGTGCAACGCTGGGAGCAGAAGATAAGACAGGCCGTCGTTGAGCCCCCCGTTTTGTCCAAGGATGAGGAACCAAAAACCTATCTTTCCTTCTCACCCCGACGGAACATACGGTGCTTTCAATCGAGAGTGGGAACGCGCGTTCCAACCAACGCCAAATGGCGGAACTCTCTAACACGGAATTCCTCAAAGCCACTATCAATCCAAGATCTACAATTGCGCTGGTAGCTAAATATACGTTTGATGTCCTAGAGGTATTCTACATAGTTCCGGTGTTTCGTCTGGTAACTTGAGAGGCTAACCCGAGTTGATGTACTAATTATTTTTCGTCTTTCAGTGTTCTTCTGGATCTACGGCGGCGGGTTAGACGTTTCGACCGAAGGCTGCGACCGCGAGCTCGTCCGGAGGAGTTCTGAGAGGCCCAGGGGCGATGGTGTATATAGTGCGTGTACATCGGGGGAATCCCTGGAAACCGGTGTTCATGAGTTGGACCGTGCCGTGTAAATCTTCCTACCTACCTACCAAAAGAAGCCCGGCGAGACCCTCGGGAGCAACTCGGAAGCAGATCCGTCCGAAATTCTGCATCTGGACCCGTTCAAAGCAACCAATTACACTCTTTTTAAAATTACGTGTGTCCGTCTGTCTGAAGCTTTTTAAACTCCGACGATCACTTGACCCCGAGATTCCACCGAGACCGGCCCTAAAGTCAACTCTGGGGTAATGGGCAACCTTATTTATTCTGTGA